AATACCTGATATTTCCAGATTCCTATTATTCTTTGTGGGGCTCACTGTAATTAAATCCCATATCTAAACATTTCGGAGGGACTATTTTACCATATTAAACTAGACATTTTTTATAAATGCATACCTCCATACTTAAAACAGACCAGTGTTCTTGCTTGCAAAATATAACGCTTGTATGTTTGCGGATAACAAAAGTCTCTCATCAGAGAAATACTAGTTAAGGACTAGTACTAGTAGTACTAGTATTACTTTTAAGCACTGAAATCATCATGGAAAATAAAAGTTAACTTAAAGAATTGATAGAGATGGATAGTTTATGTGAAAACAGTTTGGTTGCCTTAAGTTCGTGAAATGTTACTTTCCAAAAAAAAGAGTTTGTATAGGGTGGTCAACGCCTTTAAAAAACATACGGTGAAAAGATTTTTTCCCTGCACGAATGCACATTAGAGGATATTTTTGAATAAAAGATAAACTTCTTTGTCTGTAGCTGATGTCTGTCTGACGTCTGTGTCGATTTTTATTAGACACGTAATCTCCGAAACTACTGGACCGGTTGTTGTCAAATTTTGTGTGTACATATTTTAGAAATATCATGTAGATGGTAAAACGCTAACCAAAATTTGGTTAATCATCCCCATCAACAATTTGATCGCCACATTTCAAAGAATTCTGTTTTAAAATAATTTAAATGTTATACAAAAATATACCCCTATACTTGTGGTTTACCAATCCGCTTTGAGTTTTTCCCTAAATGGCCAAATGTTCACAAAGGAATTAACACAATGTAATAACATTTATCAATAATTCAGCATACAACTGTCCGTGGTCATTCGGTTAAGGCGTCAGCATGGGGACCGAAGGACGCACGTTCATAGCAAATTTCTCAGTGACCAAATTAAGAAGGAGAATTGTAATAATAATAATAATATTCAGAACATTATGTTCGACTGTGGCTTAATTAATAATTTTAGTCCTGTGTTTTGAGACGACAAACTCATTCAATTCAAACAAATTTCTGCATGACATTTTTCCGATGTACAAACAAACACTTGAAGTTAAAGTTTGTTATTATTTTTTTATTTATTTTTTTTTTTTATTTTATTGATTAACGTTACCCAACAGGCCGGAGGCCCAATTACAGGGTAACGGGGGACATACACATTATTGCTGAGAGGCCGTTTTTTCTAGTTGGTTATCTACTTTAAATATATTTTGGGCAATTCCACGAAAATGTCAACCTCAGCACATTTTATTGAAAATTGTTAAATTAATCTAAATCTTACAATTATTAGTACTTCTAAAAAGTTTAAATTTTACTGGCATAGGTATATTTGCTTTTACAATACCATAACACCCGCAGTAAAAATTTCTTGTTATTGAGGAATAATAAAACTGAATGATAGATATTATATCTTCTTTAACATTGCTAGAAGCAAAGTAAATATCTTGATTTACTTACAATATAAAGCACGGTCGTAAAGAGTGCACCTTTATTGACAATAATAAACAATCAATAACTTATCCCAACATCATCTTTAAAAAAATATTAGATACACTTCTTTCTTCTGATATATGTAATAATTGGTATAAGTAACAATAAGGGACTAATTTTTATGTTATTCGGAAATACTTATTAAAAATAATTGCATATCTCTTTTTCTCGTTCTCGCTCTCTATTTTCATTGTACTTTTATTGAAATTGCCTTGTGATTATTATTAGAAATCGCATCGTTACTTAGGCGAAACGGGATAATTTTCTTTCGGTAGCTTAATAGCTTTGAAATTAAATAATTAGCCTTGACAGCCGTCAATCTACCAATAATTTGATTTTGCTGTGTTAATCAAAATGTCTTTAACATCCACTGAAAGAGTAAGAAAACACCGACAAAAATTAAAGAGACTCAGAAAAAGAAAAAAGACATTGCGCTAAAAAAAGTTAAGATACCATTAAAATAAAAAGGAGAAAAGCGAGAAAAGCCAAAATGAAAACAAACAAATGGAAATTTCAAATGATGGTAATGTCATCAAGTAAATAAATTGTAAATTCGGTAAGTTTAAATATTTTTTCTTTTAGCACTTGATCCTTTTACTTTATTTAACATTACATACATTTATTTAAGTATTTCACCTTATAGAGACAGTTTAAAATAACAAAACTTTGCAGAGTCCCGTACGATTTTAGCCTAACTAACGGTGGAATTGCCCTTTTACATTGTCCGTACTTGTACAGTTTGCACTAATAAGTATACACAGCCGAACACTATCAATGTTACTCTATTCAGTGTCCAGGGATCAAAACCAGGACGTTTTATATTATAAAGACGTTGATACCATACAGAGCAATTGTTCATCGGACAATAGTAAAATAAAATACCACACCATAACAAAAAAAAAAAAAATCATCTTAAAAATTTATTTTTTTAACAATATGTGTAAAGTTAAAAATATCGTTAAATCATTAAGTGACTGTAACAATATACAGGATATTTAGATACTAAAGACGCGGCAAAAATGCAGAAGTTTATTCCTTGGTTTATTTTAAGTTTTCTTTCTTCAATTGTTTTCGGAAAAACGCGTTTCGAAGATACGAGATGATAAAAGTAAAGTAAAATAGCTCTATCTCCATACTTAAATTCCTTGGATATTTGTCTATGGGGCCATTTGAAACCATTAGTGTACACTATTCTATAGTAGAAAGTCAAAATGATTTAAAAAATTGGATAATTGACGGATGTAATGCAATAAGAAGCAACCCTGATATCGTGATATTTTTTAAAAAGTTTGTCAGTCAATGAGGATAAAATTGGACGCATGCATAATTTTTACATGTTCTATAAATTAATAAAGTTCTGTTTTTTGGCGAAAAGCTTTATCATCACAAGACAAAAAATCTTAAAATATCCCAAGAAATAACCCTCTGAATTTTTGCCGCATATTTAGTAAACACCCGGTATATAAGTATTTCACTGGAGATTTACTTAGCAAAACTTTGAGATAACGCCAACAATTTTTTTAGTGCGGATGACAAATTTTATGTAGTGTTTTACCATAGTTCCAATAATCTTAGAAAACGACTCAAATATCACAGTAATCAGTTCAGTAGTTTTGAAAATTATGTATTTAATACAAATGATAGAAAGAAGGAAACGGAAGACCGACATTTCGTATTAGGCGAAACTTTAAAAACACATGATTAAAAATCATCGTCAAAATAGTTCTTCGAAAGCAGACTAATAATAAGTATTTCAAAACCATGGTTATTCTCGTAGATAAATAAAGTGTCCTGCCTGTTATAAAACCATTTTCTTGTTTTACATACCTTCCGAACATAAAGTGTAGTACAAGTTTATTTTGACGACTCGATAGCTAAGGCAGTATTGTAATAGAGTCAAGTGGCTATTTTCATGTTTTCTCGACGTTTCATAACCACTAGTGTATGAAAAAATAGGTCTCCCTTTTCGTCAGCCGTTTGTGTATATTTTTATTGGACAAATAATCTCCAAAATTAGCACATATATCGTTGCAAATTTTATAGGTTTATCGTCTAAATTATAAAATGCTAATCAAACTTTGTCTAAAATGAATTATTATGCACGGTATACAAAACTTACTTCACATACACCTTCTAAAACTTGTATGACTTAAGCCAAACCACCCTTATAATGGTCTCGAACTTCAAGGATTATTACTGTTCATTGTTGCCATAATGGAGTGGTAGTGTTTTACTAGGTATATGTGAACTGAGTTAAGTTATACAATAGCCAATTTGACTTACGTCAAGTGAGTTTTGTATAAATGTTAGCACACTTCTGTATCGGTGGTTTATGAATCCGGGTTGAATTTTTACCCTAGGCATCAAGATTTTGGCAAAAAATCATAATATAATAATATATAAATAATAATAAAAAAAAAATAATAATGAAAATATAAGATACTTTTCCTTCGTTCAATTGGTCTAAGCGCGTGATAATAACGCATAGGTGGTGGGTTCGATTCCATCATGAGCCACTTTTTTTCTTACACTGTGACTGTATTATATATATTTTCCTAAAAAAAATGGATTTGTTAAATTGTACCTACTTTAGCGGCGCGCGAAGTTCTATCTAGAAACATGAGACTATTTTTTTTTAAGTTTGAAAATAAATTAATATTAGCTAATATTTTGTAACCACTAAACTAAAAAATGTTAGTGTACTCAAAAACTTCAAAAAATCAGCTGTATAAGAGGTTCTGAGACATCTTTATTTATTAATTTTTTTGCAAAATTCAAATGACACTTATTTAACAAAAAATTTCAAGTTTCATTTGTTAAATTGACCAAATTACAGTACTTTCCTGGCCATTCGTTCGGTAAACGATATCTTCACACTGTGGGAGAATTTTACGTCCGCTTACAGAAGAAATTTTTAATTAACTTCCTCGAGTGCGAGTGTATAGGTGTAATATATCGCACTTAATTGAAAACAAAAGAACATCTGGCAATAACTAATCTTTAATCAATTCCATAGCCACTGAAGAATTACAAGATATCAATTTACTATTATATTTATGCGTTAGATAGGAGTAATCATAAACCGCAAACTATAACTCCGGAGCGAGTTTATTTTCGCAGTTATTAAAGATGATGGGTGCGATTTTGTTTCTCGAGTGATAATTTATCACGAATGAAAAGTTTTCACCTAGGTTTTTCACTTGTCAGTGAAATTGGCATTTTGTTTCTTTTCACGACCGAAGTGAGACGTGGATTGACAGTTCGCGCCAAGTGATAAAATTGTGCGGTGTTGCCGCATGTATTTTTGAATTGTTACCAACTTAACTGGCTCGAATTTCATGACATTTCAGTCTCAAATTCAAATTGGACTTGCTTTTTTGAAGTTTAAACAAAAATGGCTCGTTTTTTGCCTGTGCTCGAGCACGGGCGAGAGGAAAATAATTATTTGAGACGTATAAAAAGACGGATGAGGGAAGAAAACGACCCTTTTAATTTAAGAGATGATCGGTAATTGTTAATGTTTTATTTAACTATTATTTAACAAACAAATATGTTTAGTTTTATGGAGTTGTTCCGATTTAATAAAGCCACAATGAGAGAACTAATCGAATTGTTGGAACCACACTTAATCCTTGGGGCAAGAGTACACAAGACTTCCAAGCAGCACCGAATTTTGGCTGCAATTAGGTTTTTTGCTAGCGGTAGTTACCAGCGTTGTGTGGGGCAAGATTGTTTCGTCAATTTGTCCCAATCTCAGATTTCCCTCGCCATAACTGAGGTAGCTGCCGCTATCGAGAACCGTTTGGGCGATTTCATCGGCTTTCCAAACGCAGAAGAATATGCTGCAATAAAAACAACGTATGCATACCATCAGCTTTTCAAAACAACTTATTCCCCTTATTCATACAGATTCATGGAACGTTATAATGTGCCGGGTGTAATTGGGTTTGTGGATGGCACCCATATTGCGATAACGAAGCCAACATTGAATATTGAACACCAGTACCTAAACCGCAAAGGTTTTCACTCAAAAAATGTTCAGATTGTATTAATTATCTCTTTTTGATGAGTTTCTTGATTTAAAAGTAAAATTTCCTAGGTCTGTGGTCCAAATAACAAAATATTTGGAATTAATGCCGCACATGGGGGTGCAACCCATGATGCGTTCATTTGGCGGCAAAGCAATATTGCTCGTATTTTGGAGCAGAGATTCACAGGGGGCGATAGAACGTCTTGGCTCTTGGGTAACTAACAAAATTGCATTTGAAATGTTATGGCAATGAATTCTTCAGGTGATAGTGGTTACCCCTTACAACCATATCTTATAACACCAGTAAGGAATCCTGCAGATGGTACCCCTGAACATCGTTTCAACATAGCACACCGACGTGCAAGATCATGTGTTGAACGGTGTATCGGTGTATTAAAGGCCAGATTTCGGTGTTTAATCCAAGAACGGGTGCTTAAATATGCACCAGTGAAAGCGGGCAGTATCATCAATGCGTGTGCAATCCTACACAATTTTATGGTTGCACGAAACGTTCCACTACCTCCAGAGCATGAGATCCTGGAACACATGGATGACCCAGGCGACAACGACGACGATGATTTGGTGCCCGAACAGCCCCCAAATGAGGCACAAATGATAAATGTAGCCCTTGAAACAAGAGCCAGACTAATTAGGCAACATTTCAATTAAAATATACATTTTTCGTTTACCTTGTTCGTTATAATTCACTTTTCTCTTCAGCTTATAATTTTTTTGCAACAAACACGTGCTTTTTCCCTTCTTCGCAAATAAACAATGAAGTAGAGTGAAAAATCTGGGAATTTTACGATCTTCAGATGGCAAAAGCAGTTTTCAAGGCGCTAAATATAAACTCCTGTACCTTTCCGACAGGTTTAATGAGAATATAATAAAATAACAATAACTATAGGTAACTCAGAAAAAACATTGCATAAATTACGTAATTGCCCATTTACAATGTGTCAACTGAATTGTATTATTTTATATTCTTGAAATACTTTTTAAATCTTACACCTTCAGAGTACAATACACAGACAGAAGTGGCCTCAAAGCACCTGTGTTTAAAGAGTTGCATTACTTGCATTAGTATCTATTCTAGCTTTTCAACAGTCGAAGACCTCGTGGTCACGAATGTTATTGTTTAACTTTGAGAAACTGCATCGTTTGGTTTAATAACAGTTATGCTTGGGAGTTATGTAGTATGTAACGTAGAGAAGCGTTTTGGAGTATAAGGTAGAAAAAAGATAACGAAATGTTTTTAATCAGAAGCATTTGCTTCACATTATTCTTCGATTAAATTACGAATACGGCTATTTACAGCCACAAGCTGCTCGGAAGCAGCAGCCTGTCGTTCCATAGCCACCGCTTGTCGTTCCATGGCTACCGCTTGTCTCTCTCGGAGTACATTAGCCCTTTTTTCTTCTGCGAGAAGGTTGCTAATGTTGTCTAGGGGAGGAGCGCGTCGTTTTGGGGCCCGACGTACCACTTGAGTTCTTTCCGCAACATTGGATTTTTTCAACGTCTTCCCCACGGAAGAACATGTCTTCACAGAACTGGTAGAAGGTTGGGTTAACAAGGAGGGAATCACGGACGAAAAACGTGGAGGTGGACAGCCAGGATTCTACAAACGTAATGTTAACTTCGGCTTTATACCAAATTATGAAGAAATTAGTACACTTTCATCATCTGAGTTTTCTTCAAAAGAAATTGGAGGGTCAGGAGATGGGGCTTGAGGTGAAACTGGTGGATTCTTAAAATGGCCATGGTATTAATAGTCAGTAATAATCAATTCTTAATTGATAACTTTATTGAATGAAGTATATCCTATAAAAGTAGTTAGATGATGAGTAAGAAAACAATAGTTACCACATCAATTCTCGGGAATTCCTGTGTATGCCCGTCCCCGTTATAATGCTGCCCAATGACTTGCAGAACCCTATTTTCGAGCTCTGTTAACTCAGGCAAACACTCTGGATCCTCTGACGGCCCGGGACCTCCAGTCTGTCGCGTTTTGGTCTTTATTTTCGCGGCTTTTCCTTTAACCGCGCTTTTCAGATCACTCCAACACTATTCAAATAATTGGAATTTAAAACGAAATGGATAATTCCCAAAACAACTTCCATATAATGTGAAACATGTGTAGAAAGTGAGATTGAGTATTATAATTTTGGGTGTACAGACATGATGACTGGTGTAAGTAAAAATACAGACCTTCTTCCATTGACTCACATCCTTACAGGCACCCCCATTAGCATTTAGTACAGCTGTGATCGATTTCCACAACTTTACTACTCGACCTGTATTTGTCTCTTGGGACCTGGCTAATTTTAAGTTTTTTTCCATAAAACTCACCAGGATCCCTTTTTGCTCAAACGTAGGCCTTCCGACGCGTTTCTTTTCCATCTAAATTGGATGGGAATTATGGATTTTTAGGGAAATAAATGTTAAGTGCATAACTTTGTTTTTTTTTTTATAAAATACGGGAGTATTAGTCATAATAACTCTGCTATGAATAAAAGTATTATTAATTATTATTACCTCAACAACTTCCTTAAAAATTAGTCGCTTATCTTTCCAAAAAACTGCCAGCTAGCAAAATCCTACCAATGAATGATGCATATGCCGTCAAAAATTTGAGGTTAAATACGATTTATCATGGATTTATCGCTAGGGTATAATGGCGTGATAAGTTTTCATTGATGAAGTGATAAAATGGCGAAATAAAATCACTTTTACGATGACAAGTGATATATTTGACGTATGAAGTGATATTTTATCACTTCGCTCGCTTTTCACGAGAAACAAAATCCCACCCCTCTGGGGTGGGATTTTGTTTCCCGATCGAAGTGATAAATTATCACCTGCGATAATTGTCATTGCGTAGCTTTTAAATGCAAAGTTTGCATTTATTCTTTGCATATAAGCTTATTAAATGCTCAAAAGTTTACAATTACCTTAGTTTTAAGAACTTGTAACTCAGAATTACGATTTTGAACTTCTATTTTGACATAAATTTCGAGGTTATGTCTCCAAAATTTATCACTTCATTCAGAGCTATCGAGAAAATATCACTCCATGAAGACTTGATTTCGTGACAGAATCGAGAAATGTGACATAAATGTCTCACCAACTCAGCCTCTCAACCAATCAGCAAACGAGATTTTATCGCTATCGAGTTTTTTTCGATCGAGAAACAAAATCGCACCCCTGGGGTGGGATTTTGTTTCCCGATCGAAGTGATAAATTATCACCTGCGATAATTGTCATTGCGTAGCTTTTAAATGCAAAGTTTGCATTTATTCTTTGCATATAAGCTTATTAAATGCTCAAAAGTTTACAATTACCTTAGTTTTAAGAACTTGTAACTCAGAATTACGATTTTGAACTTCTATTTTGACATAAATTTCGAGGTTATGTCTCCAAAATTTATCACTTCATTCAGAGCTATCGAGAAAATATCACTCCATGAAGACTTGATTTCGTGACAGAATCGAGAAATGTGACATAAATGTCTCACCAACTCAGCCTCTCAACCAATCAGCAAACGAGATTTTATCGCTATCGAGTTTTTTTCGATCGAGAAACAAAATCGCACCCCTGATTCGAAAAAGTACTTTGCACATGAATAGATAAAACTAAACTGCCTAGACTTGACAATTAAAAATACAGACACGCCCCAACACATCGTTTGTGCACAATTCATATTTTGCGGGCAATATAATAAGTACTATAACGATGTGATTAATTGCGTATTAAAACTGTTGAAGTTTATACAACTTCTCGATGAAAGCGTACTTCAACGTATAAATCCATTATTTATTATCATATTTCTGAACATCTGGCAAGTACTAGACAACCCACAAACGAAACAACACAAGGAAAATGTATCTTATTAACGGGAATTTAAATAAGTCGCTCCTCCTACTCCACAGACGAAAATTCCGTCAAAGTCAAACTTCAAGGGGCGCCGCGGCCCCCATTCATCACAGTCCGACATATGCGGATCTTTATAGTATCCTACTTTTGTGTCACTAGCAGGTCTTTTGGTTTAATTAATTCCTGAAGACACAAAACTGTCAAACACAGACTTAAACGCGATGTATTATAGTTTTTATGTTTTTTGTGTTTCGCTGTTACAGTCGTATTCATTAAATGAACTATAAATGATTATAATTAACAGATAAAATTGTTGGAACAGAAGTTACCTTCATAAAAAGTTAAATTATACATTTACAACTGACAGTTCGTGTGTTTATTTAATTTTTCACAGATTTATATTTAGCAAACGATTTTGAAATTTCTTGAGACTTGTAATAATTGCTGACAAGATAATCGATGCAGACGACTTACGACAGACAGACAGAAACGGGAGACCAATTTTTTCATACCCTAGCGGTCATAAAACGTCCAGAAGACATGGAAGTAGTCATTCATGGGATGGACTTCTTTAGCTTATACTTAATAAGTTTTAGTGCTTCGAAATTCAAATTTACAAACCTCGGCTTATCAAAATCAATGAGACGTACAAATGAAAATTTGTTTATTTTTGAAGCTATGTAGTTTTCTACGTGCCCAATTAAAACCAATGGACTGGTACGAAAAACAAACGGTGGCCGGTCTCACTTAAAAGTATCAGTTTCACATATGGGTTAATTATTTCGTGTCGGCTTTTCTTTGGTAAACTGAACTTACAGAACCCAGCTATAACAAGCTACATTCGAACGTCGTAAACGTTATGAACCGAACATTGACTCAACAGGTTAATTAACATTTTAGAAATCAAAAATATCATCACATCGCATCGTTTTCGTAAAAAATGATTTATAATGAGACGCGCGCCATTAATTCATAAATTAAGTGCCGCCGTCGATGACGATAGTATAATAATTATTACTGTATGGTTATTATTACTGTTCATCAAACGAGGGCTTCTATGATCTATAGACGGTATTCAAAGAAGCCGCCAACATTTTTAAATTTTGTCGCAGGAAACTTAGCACGCTGTAGATCAAACAAATGACATACGACTAGGCTACGCCTACTTGTGCATCAAGGAAATTAAACATGACCCGTAGAACGCTAATATATCAGGAAGTAGCAAAATGTTTCTGAAAAGATGTTCTTTCCTTTGAGACTTTGATGATGCCGCTGGCAAGAAGACTGTCTTCCAGATTGTGGTAAATCATTCAAAATTTTCAGCGTCGCAAAATGAGTAAAGAATAAAGTAAAACTAAACACATAAAAAAACTACAACTTTTTTTGAAAAATTTAAACCTTCTATTGAAATCTGTAAATTAAATTTTTAAGGTCTGTTAGTATTAAAATACTCCGATATAAAATTAATATATACCCTCGTTTAACAATAAATAGCGAAAAAAGAATTAAAAACACCCTTTTGTCCGGAGCTAAAAAAAATCTGATTTTATGAAAGTCAGTTTTGTTTCATTTACCCATTGATCACTTCAACGAAACGGCAGTTGTTCAGTGCAAAGAATTGTATAAATGTAATCCTTTCATCTCCTGCGAATACGTCACTAGGTTCAACCAATCAAATTATAAAACGCACTTTACCGTTCGAAGAACATGTAAATTCTTCTACCATGATGTTAATCAAGTGTGTTCATATTCACCTATTATATTTAACAGTTGTGAAAATCATGTAAAGTACCCCACAAATGAATTAATAAGCCGTCCACTCCTGTAAATAATGAAATGAAATCCATATGCACATTATTTTTTCGTTTCTATTCCAGTTAATAACAAAGTTTATTAGAAAAGGTACATGCTATATACAATAAAATCTCAGGCCACTTGATGCAAACGACTATACGCACACTGAATCAGTGTCCGACTGTATGCTTAAATCGAAGTAACAAATCCATTACACTACAATGTTTCTTCAATGGTGCATGAAATGTTGTTATATTGAAATTTATGTTTTCTTTTTAGTTGGATGGCAGCACTGACAGCATTTCCTCAACACTGGTAGGAGTGGTAGGGACTTTAACGCACTCTTAACACACGAGCCCTCTAGTAGCACACTCATGTATTACTAAAAATGCAGAAATTTAAAACTTGAAGCTACTTTATTTAATTTAAGTTTGGACACTAGTATTTATACATTTCTATACATTTATTATATTCAGGAATGTGTTTGTTCATGGTGGCTCCATTCATTTGAGAATATGCATACATAGTCTATGTATGACCCCGCACATAGATAATACTCCCATATTGTCAAACATATACATATAAAATACACCACAGCATAAAAATCAAACGATATATTCCACTAGCAGGTAAGATAATATCTTTGTTTAAATAAAAATTATTCCAGAGAATTTAACATTAACAACTGCTTGAGTACTTTAGTTTGAGATGTTTCCCTGATCTCTCCAGCCAAGAACATTTCATCAACAACAGTATATACCTTATAAAAATTAAAAACAAGATCTAACTCACAAACATTGTGAAAGTATTCATTAAGAACTTCAACAAAGTTATGTATTGCCTCCAAGTAGCATAAATTATTGTCATTTACATCGACACATATACAGAAGTAGAGACCGGCATATCGGCGATAAACGATCTTGAAATTTCGGAACTAAAAAGGAACAATTACTACCGAACAAGATGTGTATCTGCAACAAGTACCTCAACGAAGTTAGTGTGCTTAGCGTCACGAACTGTAACAACTGCATGGACTTCTTCAATGAGCTTTTGTTTCTCGTCATCGTCAAAATTCATATACCATTTGGCTAAACGAGTCTTGCCAGCCCGATTTTGGATTAATATAAACCGAATCTGAAAAAAAATCATAGGTTAGATCACACAACTTTTATCCAAATTCTGGGTTGGAATCGCCTGAGAGTGGTAGACTCTCTTACCATTTTTGTGCAAAATAGTTGATAAGTATGATAGGTTTCGTTATTTAATACAACAAAACCTCCTACTCCTACAGCTAATAAATGGTCAACGTCAAAATTTTAGTGCTTTTGTGTGTCAACAGAGATGTCAATCTGTTAGGTTGGCATTATGACGTTTGGCAGTTTTTGCGCAATTCCATCCACTTTTCTCTGTATTTGTGGATTCGTATATTTAAAAATCCGTTTTTGTTGTTGATAATGTCTCGAAATAGAGGTTTTTATTTTTATAGTAATTATTAAAATGATTAATTTACGTTTTTAGGTGGAAGACATGGCAGAAACAAACCCACAGTGGGAGAAAAAGGTCGTCAAGTGGTAGAAAGCATTGATGAAAACAACCCAGTTATCAAGATGTTCCTTGCTTTTAGGCAGGAGTTAGACGATAAGCATGACCGGTTCGAAAAAATCGTGAAACATAGTAGGGACATCACAATAGAGAATAAACGAATAATATTTTTATTACATTCAACAAACACTGATGTGTAAGCATCTGGATATTTTTTATTGTGGCATTTATGTGAGAGTTTTAGAGAAAGCAAGAAACAAGTGGTGCTTGAGGAGGCTAATACGAGGTTAAAGCAAATATTTGAAAAAAATTTTAAATCTGTTGCGTTATTATTGAAAGGTTTTGATTCTTACCAGTACCAAAAGGCTTATACAAGTGGTTTACAAGAATTTATAGAAGCTTTAGTTTTTTATCAGTATTTAACATCTGGCAGCTTTGAAAAATGGGACAATATAAATAAATCATTCCAATATATGGACAATGGGGACAGCATAAGTCTCCTTTTTCCCCAAATTGATTACATTCTAGGAATAGCTGACTTTACAGGGGAACTCATGAGGCGTTGTATAAATGATCTAGGGGTTGGAAACACCAGTGATTGTTTTAAAACCTGTAATATGGTCAAACACATCTACAGTGGATTTTTAGGTACTTCTTTATTATTTTTTTTAACAAAAATATTAACAATACGTTGCTTCAGGTATCATTAACCCAGGAAACAAAGAATTAGGGCGCAAGACTTATGTAATAAAACAGAGTCTTGCGAAAATGGAACTTGTGTGTTATAACATTCAAATCAGGGGGTCAGAGATTCCTAAACACATGTTGCTGAATGTTATAGAATCTACTGATGTAAATACAGAGGATGATGAGGGATACTACCATTGAGGGGAGTTTGTTTCTGAACACAAACCTGCAGTATTTTTACAAGTACAAGTGTTAAGTTATTTTTTGTATTAGTTTATCACATCTTTTAAAGCACAACTGAAAAATAAATTCATTTAAAGAAAATCAAAAATCAGTGTTTACCTTACCTGTATATCACATTTCAGGTAAACTTGATCCTTATCAGGGAACTTGAAGGATGTCAAGTCGGTGTACATAAAACACTTAAGGGTGCTACCTTTTGGATTTTCTTTTTTGTACCACTTGTCAATAAGTTTGCGTTTCCTAAAAATAAAAGTCACTTTCTTTTAATTGCAATGCGGGTTTCTTACTTAGCTGAATGTTCTTCAGTTAAATGTAACTTATACTGTGATTTCTCAATTTCTTGATCATCATAAGCCCAACAGTCGGTAACCTTGATGTCAAACAGGTTGCTAGGATCTCTCATGTAAATGAAAATTGTTATAGGTTCCCCTACTTCAAGGGTTGAATCAATATATGAAGTCTGGAAAAGTAAAGCGACTTTAACATTTACAAAATGAATGTATAAATGTAACTAAATAGTCGTACGTTTGGGTAAATGCCTTTTTGTACGTCCATCCAAGTCTTAACAGGTTCGTCCGCCGTAGGAAGATCAAAATATTTGACGTCACTATGTGGCTTTATTGATACCATCTCTTTTTCACAATTATCACAAGAAGTAGTAACCTTGAAATTCAAATATGTCTGTAAATTACGTTGCAATCTTTGCTTTTTATCACAATTTACGCATTTTCCAGGATGTGGTACTTACTAGACTTGCGATAATAATAAAACTAAAAGCTGGAAAATATTTATTGCACTATATTTTAGATTCATCATTTAAAATTTCAACGTTAGCACTAATGCAACTAAAAAAAAAACGCGGTACGATCACAACATTTTAAGAAAATAAATTCATTTCTTGAGTTGTTTCTAAAATGTAGTAAAAAAAAATGTGTACTTACGACTGATTTCAAAAGTATTAACTGGATGAACTTGAAGAGGAGCGCGCTGGAGCGTCGCGGTGATGTTGGACCCATCGTTTCCGTGTCCAAAAACAAGTGAAGATCGCACACGATGGTACATGGCACATGCAATGTTTAGTCATCTGTGGCCTACTTTAATGAAATAGGAACTATGGGTTTTATTATTGTTTATAAATTAGGTACAGAAATTTCTACTTAATTAATTATGTAAAATCCTTGAATTATAATAACTCATGTTATGTAATTATGAGAGGTTAATAGGTGAAATGGGTACAGTGCAAAACAGGTCGGTATACAGATAAAAATAGCACTTTGCAGTTTGAATAGTTCATTATAACTGTATGTAAAAAACATTTGAAAGTAGAAATTTCTTTACACTTACCTTTTACAGTCGACATTTTTTGATGATATATGATCCTACACGCGTTTCTATGTTCTTAAAATTTGGTGAATATGTTTCGTCAATTTTTCTTGCGTCACCATAGAATTTAAGAAAGTCTAGTTGAGATGTTTTTTGGGAACAAAATTCAAATTTAGTTTAAATATTTTTATCCACTGATGCGTATCGAGCCATGACAAAAGAGATAGAAGATCATTTTGACGAATTTATTGTTGCATGGTTGATTTCCTGTTTTCGTAGGTATGTCCGTGATGGTGGATCAAACTTTTCAAATCCATGAAAATTTCGCCCTTTTTTGACCATCTTCCTCCAAAATTATCCAAAGAATGCTTTTTTGTAGATTTTGACTTTCAGAAGTTATTTTCAGAATTTTTAGGATGAAAACAAATTTCACCCCGAATTTATTTTTCTAAAATTTTACCCCGGGACCATAAACACGCCATATTTTTCGAATCAGTACCTTGAGATGTATAGGCCAATATTTTTTGTGGATAGACAAGTTTTTCAAAAGCTCAGTATTTCAATAAGAAAATTTCAAGTTTTTTTTGAGCACTTTCGGAAATTATCTCAACAGATTTTTTTGTGTATTTCGACCTGCAGAGGAGATTTTCGGTCTCACTTCTCCGAAAACTCGACCATTTTTCCAAAACTGGCCAATGAAATATGCTAATACATACTTGCTTAGAATTTGAAAAAATATACTTTCAAACCTAATTTTTCTAAAATCTTGCTCTCAAACCATAAACACGCCATATTTTTCGAATCAGTACGTAGAAATCTATAGGTATCTCAGAATTTTTTGTGAATTTTTAGACAATTTCTTCAAAGGCTTCCCTTATGAAAAATTTTACCTTTTTTGACTACTTTTAAACTACCTGAAGACATTTTAGTGTGGATTTCGACCTACAAAATTTACTTTCGGTACTTTCTCATGTCTTAGAAAACTCCTATCATTTTTCTAAAATCGTTCAATGGAACATTGCAACTTTTAGAATTTTAAGAAAAAAATTACTTTCAAACCGAAAATTACTAAAATCTTGTTCCGACACCATAAATATTTCTTTGAATCAGTACGTCGAGTTCTATGTTTTTAGGAAGCTTTTTCCCAAGCTTTTTTTTTAGATCACCTTAAAAAATGCCTTGACTTATAGGTATATACTATTTCGAACTCCAGGTGAGATTTTCGGCCTCATTTCTTTGAAAATTCCTTCCATTTTCTCAGAATTGCCCATTGAAATATAGAAATTTTTAGGGTATTTAAAATAAATGAGTTTCAAACCGAAAATTTCTAAAATATTGTCAAAAACACATTACGTCGAAATCGACATCCCAGAATTTTTTGAGAATTTTTTCGACACCTTTTCGAGAGCTCAATTTTTCAATAATAATGTGTCGTTGACCAATTGCACAACTGGGATTGTTATTCCGCATTACTATGTAAGTTTAGAAGGACCATGGGTATAATCCTCCAGAATTTGGTGAACTATACCATATACATTTATTTTATAAATTATTACTCGTCCGCTCACTGAAACCTTTGTAACAATTTATTTTATATTATAAGAAGATTTACTGACTCTTTCACAGCAACTTACTATTGTAATAATATTAATAATAATAATAATAAAATTGTTATATTAAGATTAGGTACATGGTAGTAAGTTTGTAATAAGAGTTTTGTAACGACATTACCATTGTATCGTCGTTACAGTCGCTTGAAGCGGAAATTACAATACAGATGTTATGTTGATGCTATGTTTTTATTACGTAACCTCCAAAAAAATGTAACAATCATGTATTACACGGTTGGTTATGACTTATGAGGTAGTTCTCCGTTACCATAAACACGCTATATTTTTGAGATCAGCACGTAGAGATAAGTTTTTGGACGACTTTTTCAAAAATGACTTTTTTTCTCAAAAAACTCGAATTTTACTCCAAATATTTCGAAAATATTGCTCAATGACTATAAACAGGCTATATTTTTGGAATCGCACATCAAAATATATAACCCTGAATTTTTTACGAATTTTTAGACCACTTTTTAAAAAATGAAATTTTCCCTTACGCAAATTTCGACCCATTTTCGACGATTTTTGTAATTTAACTAAACACGTTTTCTTGTAGAAATCACTCCCAACCTCATTTCTTCGATAACTCCAACCGTTTTTCCAGACTAGCTCATTGAATTATCGTAATTTTAAAAAAATTCAAAAGATTCGAATTTCATTCCGAATATTTTGAAAATATTGCTCTGTGTCCTTAAACACGCTATATTTTTGTAATCAGAAGGTCAAGATCTATAACCCTGAATTTTTGGAGAATTTTTAGACTTTTTAAAAAATTTAATTTTTCATTATGTATGTAAATGCAAATTATGCAAATTTCGACCCATTTTAAACGATTTTCGAGAGTTAGGTAAATACATTTTCTTGTAGATTTTGGGCCTCAGAAGCCACTTCCGGCCTTATTTTTCCGATAATTCCAACCGTTTTTCCAGACTCAAATTTGAATTTCATACCGAATATATGTTTAGAATCAGCATGTCAATATCTATAACCCTGAATTTTTTGAGAATTTTTAAACCACTTTTTTTAAAAATTGAAAATTTCCACTTTGCGCAAATTTCGAGCCATTTCCGACGATTTTTGAAATTTAACTGAATACATTTTCTTGTAGATTTCAGGCCCCAGAAGTCACTTCTGGTCTCATTACTTCGATAACTCTAACCGTTTTTCCAGAATCGCCCATTGAAATATCGTAATTTTTAAAAATATCAAAAAATTCGAATATCACTCCGAATATTTCTAAAATATTGTTACGCACAGAGTAGCATAATTAAATAACTGTTATTCTGATGTTATATTACTGTTATAATTTTGTGTTTGCTTAGAATATTTTAAAAAATAATTGTTGAACAGGTATACCTTTTACTAACTATCTCTATGTACATTGCAAATATTAAAATTAGTGTATTTATTCCTACTGAGTTTACAGTATTACTCAGAAAAATATTTAACAAATTTGTTGTAAACTTAATTACTTAGGTACTAGATTCGATATAGTTTGTGCCTCAGTTTTTTATCTGCCTACCTGCATTTTTCAAAAAATCGTCCAAACCGATATATTCTATCAGTTGTCAAAGGTTTTGAAAACCTTTTTGAATTCTCAATAACCGTTACCTTTACGACTTAATATCTATAAAAACATTTAGACAGAAAATATTGCAGTTTACTAATTAAATTTACATGTAGGTAAATTAGCTACTAAAAACAAATTACCACCCGGTATATAATATTAATAAGTCTTTGCGGTTTTGAAGTTTCGGTGGAAATCAGCGTGGATGTTGTTGACTTTGGAATTTTTATTCGTACCCATATTCATTTGTCACCAATTTCTCTCAAGGTTAAGTGTGACGTCAAAATATGCATTATGTACATGAAAAGTGATAACTGATAGATACTATACTAATTTTTTCCTTCAAAATTACGATAATTAGGTAAGTATTAACAACAACAACATTTTTCGAATCGATTTAAATCTGCAGAGAATTTCTAAAAGTTTTAGTGAAAATATTATTTGTTCATATTCCCTTTTAAATTTGATTTTTTTTTATTTGTACCAGTACTTAACCATCTATCATATGAAATTTAAAATATGATCCTGCTGAAATTGAATGCTAAAAAGAGTCAAAAGATCATTGTGCAAGACTCACATGACATGCTCTAATTTTTGACTATAAATTTTTCACATCGTTTACGAGCATAAGATTTTCCTCAGATTCCCGAAATGAAGAGCACAAAATTATTTACTTATTTATTATTTTCGTATCTCTTATTATCAGTTTCCTGTACAAAATGGTATATATTATGAATCACATATCCTCAAGAGCAGTGGTGGCGTCTCTGTAATTATAACAACAGCAAAAATGTTAAAGTTTTTGGTTTTCTTGGTTTTGTGTAACACTGATGCACTTTCTTTTCTGATTGATTATCCTTCAACAAAAATGTTAACAATTAATGAAACGAATTCGTATTTTGGATATTCCATCCTTCTGCAAAAGGGAAATCGAGGCGTGTAAGTTGAAGCTAAAGTTAAGCGTAATTTCTCAAAATACATAATTTGGGTGTATTAGTTACGTACGTGTTTCGTATTTAGTGCAATTATTGGAGCACCAAGGAAAAGGCATGGCAGTGAAGTTAGAGGGTCCGTATTTAAATGCGATTTACTTTATTTGCGCTGTAGTGAATATAGCAGGATTATGAAGGAAAAAGGTTAGACAGTAATTAATAGAATACCGACGAAGCTGTAAACTATGTGTTCTGAAAATTTTAGGCATATACCCTCGTAATCGTACTGGAGATTTTTTAGGGTCAGTTTTAGATGGAGATGAAATTACTGGAGGAAAATTCTTTGTAAATATTGAACTATATAAATTTTGAGTAGATGATTAATAATTAGCAAAATATTTTTAGACATGTGCCCCTAAATTTATCATAGATTACCGCGGAGATTATTACCTTAACGGAAGATGCTTTTATGTTAGCAGTTCCTCCGTTACAAACGAAGTAGCCAGAACAGTACTACCTCTGAATTCGGAACGTAAGTTGTAGTACTTAATACTCCAATTTTTTAATGCCATATCTACTACATCTTATCACATGTAATGTCGCTCTCATGTGATAAGCAACAGAAGTAATCGCCGGTGTAAACAAATTTGACTAATGTTCACTTGTTATGTACTAACATCGATTAAAGGTGTCAAATAAAAAAAGGTGTGTCCATGTTAGTCTGCTTTTTTAATAAATTTTTAACAGTGAAAAATTTAGGCAGGGAAATAACAAAACATTCTTCTCACCTTTTTTTACACAATTGATTAAATGTCTCTTGTACCACATTTTCGTTTGTTGTAAAATAATCCACGATTTCATTTTAGGTCAAATTTCTTCTGCTCCTAATCTATATTATGATGCTGCCTTTGGTGAATCGGGTTTCGACATTGCTTATATAAAAGTAAGGAAATTAAAATAAATTAGATAAGTCACATGGCAATTTTTTTAGGATAAAAATATATTACTGACGGGAGCTCCTGGAAAATCTCAGTGGAATGGTATGAAACAATATAATTAAATTTACAGTGTTATTTTAAAAAAACACAAAATAGCTATATTTAACTTTCCAAATTTTTATGTTGTTAATGCTAAATTGCTCTAGGTGCACTGGTTCGAACTAGTTTGGTTTCTTACACAAGCAAAGTATTTTCTAATGAACGCGAGTGGGACCCAGACAGCTTTTTTGGTAAGCACTCGAATATATAATTTTATAATTGTTAATTTTATGGTTCGTATTACAATCAAACTTTAAACTGTGGAATGAAGTGTGTGTTTATTGTAATACTTAGATTTTTCTTTGATTGGATAAATAAATATCAGAAAAGTGAGAAAACTGTCATTACAGAAAATTAAACAATAATGTGTACCACCAAAATGGTCATGGAAAGTGGCACATTTTACACAAACGGGAGTTTCTCCGCGAGGCTTTCCAAATGATACTTTTACTTCTTTTATCAGTTTTGTACACAGTTTTTCTTGTGACTTTACAAATGTATACACTGCAAATATTTAGTCGTATCACGGTCGAAAATAACAGAACCAAGAATATAAATATTTTATTTTAAATCAGAAGAGTCATCATTTTACTCTGACGTATGAGAACATTTGTGCTACTTATGTGTTATGTTTTTAGGATATGCAGTGGCATGGGGTAAATTTATCATAAATTCTCCAACTATATGGTACGTGTCTGGTAGTCCTCGAGCAACGGAGCTAAAAGGAAAAGTAATTTTAACATTTAACGTTTTTCAGTTTGTTTTAATTTTTGGCCTGTTAATTAGGTGGTTTTCTATGAAGAAAATAGGCGTTTGAAAAACACTTACTTATTAGGGGAACAATATGGATCATATTTCGGTGCGTCCTTGTTGGTGATTCATAAAAACCAAGGAGGAGACGACATTTTGGTTGGCGCTCCACTATATCCTGGAAATTCTTGGGACGAAGGTTGCGTTTATTATTATAAAAATAGAAACGATGTGAGTACAACAGAGACTACTTTAAAGTATAATATAGTTTTTACAATTAAAAAAATAAAAAGCACGCAAAAAGTGGTAGAGTGGCTCAGAATGGCACCCTTATGTTTTCCTTTCATACGATCATACAAATTTTTTGAATTCATTATGACTAAAAAGAGAAGAAAAGAATAAGTTATATGTGCGGGGTTATTTTAGGCCCCAACCTTCCCCAACTTTTAGGAAACGATGAAAAATTTCTGGTTTTGGATTTACGCATCTTTGAGGAAAAACACACTTTTTTAGACCTCAAACACCAAACAATATCAACAGATAAGAAATTTCCGGTTTTTAAGTTAGTCACACTAATGACTACACTCATGGGATTTGTCTCAACCGAACCATTCAAAATTAAAATATAAAAACCACATTACGTATAGAAAAAATTGGTCCCGAGTTATTTAAACACCTGAAGTCATGTATTCAATAAATTCAGTGTATTAGAAAAAAAGAATGTCGCCAAGCGCGAGCGGAGCTCAAGAGGCTGAGAAATCCACACAGCGCTCAAATAGTTTTCTAAAATAATTGTAATAAAAATCTAGGCGGATTCATAAACCGCAAGTACCTGCAGGTGTATGTTATGTTATGAAGTGTAAATAGCAGTTACTAAACAAAAAAACTGAATTTATGTCGTTTAATTGTTGGTGAGGATTAAATAAATTTGGGTTTGCGTTTTATCATCTACACGATATTGTTAAACCATACTGACAACAATCGGTACAGTAGTTTTAAATATTGTAATAAATAAAATTTTGCAAATTTACTACTACTTTCAGGGCACATTTTATCCACCGATTAAATTATCAAATAAAAAATCTGCGTCGAGATTTGGTACTACTTTAGCGAAAACTGGTGACATGGATTTGGACGGGTTTACTGGTAAGTACATACTATTGTATACAGGTGTTCCAAGAGTGACACATAGGTGGTTCTGAAGAACTCGAAAAAATTTTAAAAAAAAACGAAATACTTGAAAATATTAAGCTTCAAAGTTGAAGAATTCTCTTCCTAATTATTATATTTTCTAAAATAATGTTTCAGACTGCGCAATTGCTGCACCATATGAAGACGACGGTGTAGGAGCTGTTTATATATATTTTGGAACACACACCGGATTTGTTAATGACCAGTTTCTCCGTATTAGTCCTTCAGATTTTGCAACGGTTTATCCTAAAACTGTTATCAAGGGTTTTGGTGTGGGTATTTCCAATGGCAATGACATAAACAACGATAAACATAATGGTATGTTCCTTCCAACAGCAAAAATACACAGTGTGTCGGAAAAACCTAAAATAAACTAGATCAAAATTCAGAAATGAAATTCCACTAAAATGCAAAGTTATTGAATTAATTCAAAGTTTTGCGAACAGTCTGTATACTATATTGATTTTAGATCTCGCAATTGGCGCTTACCAAAGCGGACAAGTCTTTTATTTCACCACGAAACAAATTTTCGATGTTACAATGAATATGACGTCCAGTATGAAAATATTGTACACTTCGACCACAAATTTCTCAGTAACTTACTGCATTAAGTTCACATTTCGAAACGGAGACAGAAATAAGATGTTGTCTTTTTTCACTCGAGTGATATTGGACGACGACAGAATTTTAAATAGGCAAAATATCACTAAAATTACCACCACGAAAGCACATGATGTTCATTGTACGACTCAAGAAGTACTTCTAAAAGTACGTAGTCACACTAATTTTTAACAGTGTTGTGATGTGCCTGAATTCTCTTTCAGAAAGATCATTTAAATGTGGACCCACTTATTATTCCTTACGGATACAGATTAGATGAATCTCAGGACCAGTTGACAGAAGACACTTTTAGCGTCCCGGTTTCTTATGAATGTGGTGAAGACAATATATGCCAGACAAATCTGACTATAAAATCACTAGGAACCAGTGTGTAGGTATCAAACAAATAAGCACACAAACGAAAATAATTTTTATTTTTTAGATCAAAAGTTATTTTTGGAATAAATAACGAAGCTAAAGTGAATGTCGAAGTTTCCAATTTCGGTGAATCAGCTTATCAAACCAAATTGTATTTGAAGGTCCTGCCGGAAGTGAGCTTGATTAATCTGAGGGAATGTGATTTCGAGAACGGAAGTTATGTGTGTTTAGTCGCTCGGGTGTTAAACGGAAAAGTTAAAAAAAGTTTCTTGTTTGACTTGGCAAATCTGACACCCAACTATAAAGAAATACCAATTCATTTTAAAGTGGAAAGCGTTGGAAACGATGCAGACTTGTCTGACAATGAGCTACAAGTAACCATTCCTGTTAATTTTCAAAATAATCCTTACTTAGACAGGTTTGTAAATACTTGTTTAAAATCATTTCCATTCATATTCACGATTTTTAAGTCGATCGCTGCCCGAGAAAGTCTTCCTTAACAAATCAGAAGAGATTTTAAAAATTACACACACGTTTTTAGTGGGTAATCAAGGCCCGAGTCCACTAAATCTCAGTTTAACTATACTTGTTCCACAAGTAAACGTATCAGGAATTGATATCCTTGAAATCAAAAGCACCGACGTAAGTTCGCTTTATTTTTTGTTTTATTTCATACAAGGATTATTTTAGGGTACCGTAAATGGCATCGAAAGTGATTGTAAGTTTTCTAAGAAAGAAGTTTTAAATGCAACAAACATAGTGAAGTTGCAAGTAGAAAATGATACGAAAGTTCTAAGTTGTGTGGAATCTTTACAAAATTGTGTTAGCATTGTATGCAAAGGAGCTTATGTGCCAAAATCTAACAAAAATGCAGCTTTTACTTTAAAACTGACATTGCATATTAAACCAACAGGTGAATTTTAGTCATATGTTACGTAAATAAGTATAAGTATTGACTTAAAAAACAATATGAAAAATAAATGAATTATTTCAGTGAAATTTCTGGACAATGTAAATAAGTTAGTCTTGATGTCAAGTGCTCTATTTAGCAACGACACAACGCAGTAAGTGTTATTATAACAAAAAATTAAGTTGAAATATCTTACTTGTTCTAGGTTTTATACAACTGCTTCGACATACCTTTATACTGTACCTAATATCATAATCAGTATGCCTTTATGGATCTATCTAGTTTCTGTTATTGTAGGAGTCATCTTGTTGATGTTACTAATTTTTACTTTATATAAAGTAAGCTATAGTTCCGGTTTTAAAACAGTGAACATTACTTAGTGATGCATAGCAGATAAAATTTCTTGGAGGTTTTCAAATAAATTCGTCTTGGTTAATGTTCACTACTTAAGAACGAGAACGATAACAATATGTTGTTCCATCCATATGTGCAAACCAAAACATATTATTTTTATTACAGTGTAACTTTTTCAAACGCACTTATAAAGAAATGATCGAGAATGAACAGACACCAGAAAATATGGTAAGAAATTCCATAAAGGAAGTTTCGCAAAATAATTAAATTTTTAGGAACAAAGGGAGATATTACAAGAGGAAGAGGAACAGGAAATATAGACTTTTGTTTCTTGGAATTGTTATCGAATGAAGTATTCATAAATAGAGAGCGATGTGGTTCTAATTATTTTTTTAAACGTACGCTAGATGGCAACTTTAGAAATTATTATATGGCGATCACAATATGAATAAAATACTCATTTTTTTTTTCATTTCACATGATTTAAGCATGTGTAGCTTATCACATTTACTTGTTGGCATGGTATCAACACTAATAATAGTAATACAATGACTTTATAGATTGATTTTTAAAAGCAATCGTCTAGAGTGTTTTATTTGAAATGAAAAATAGATCAGGAAAATTATTATTAATTACCTACGAAAAATTATAGCATAGACAATTCATCAAAAAAGCAGCAGTCTGTATTATATAGCTAATTTTGGTATTTGAACTTTCACAGAAAATGAGAATAAAGCTCTGAAATGTTCCACAGGCTTTAAGGTTTAAAACAAAAGTAGTATTGTTAAAATTTGGATAACGAGTGTACGTGTTACAACATAAATAGGCTCTGACTGATTATCTGGTCCCGGGGCATTGTTCAAATATAATCAGAATCACAAGTCAAGTGCTAAAAAGATTATCGTTATGATTATTAAGATTCCATTCTCATGGTTGCTGTAACTATTATTGAAAAAATATTGTACCTTAACAAAAAATTTCGTGATATAATTAACCTTACGATACAACTTTTCTCTTTCTCAGTTAAACGAGACTGCAAAAACTTTAATTGAAGTTACATAAATCGACGATGAGTTTGATTTGTTCCACAACTTATTATGTAATATCAAATCAAGTCTTCACAGTTCTGTTCAGAAACACACAATTTTCATTGTAAGTCTAATAAGTTGAAAAAACTGGCATTGAATTAGTTATGTAATCTCAAAATAGAGTTTATTTGTTTCGCTTATATTGAGGAAATAATATATTTTCAGAAAACATTAAAAACGGTTCTAAATAGGCTACAGTACAATAATTATAGCAGGTGATCCACAGTTTTCGAGATATTAAGTATAATTATAGCAGTGTAGCCTTCGCCCATGCTCTATTTCTAGTTAATAATAATAATTTATTTTCCGTGCAGGTAGTAGTTTTTAAAATAGTTTTATCCTTCACTTGAGAATTATTATTTACTACAACTAACGACTCTAATTTAAAATCGATCAGAATAGTTGTCTCTTTTTGAGTGTTAGTAGTAGTCATTTATTATTATAACTACGTATTTACATCATCAGACTAAATAATAAAATAAAATAAAATTTCCTAAATATGTTGATGGCTATGAGGAAGATTAGTGATTGAAGTCCCCAGACTGCTCTTCACCCTCCTCAGTTTAATTTTATCCCTAATTTGTAAAAGTCTGGACGACCTGTCGGATTCTTTTCGATGTATTGGAACGTGACCGCCCATATTCTGCACTCTCGCACGCTCCATTTGCACCACAGAGTACAAATCGTACACAAAAGCAGAAGATTTAGGCACCGGACTCGTTAAAGCAGCACTGGGTGTTCTAAACATCGAAGTAGACGCTTGATCATCGGGAGTATCCAGATAGAACTTGGGCATGGACTGCTGCCTGATTATGGGTATCTCCTTCGGTTGATCGATTTTTAAGTAAAGACTCTTTGACATTCGTCTGTCCTTGAGAGACTTGCGCCGAATTTCGACCTCAGGCTCGAGATTCTCAGGTTTAAGGGTTTCTAATTTTGGCTTGTCAGGAAGATCAGGCGTGTCAGGTTCGGGTTTCGGGGCTTGCGTTAGTTTTTTCTAGAAAACAAAACAAATAGAAAAAAGTAAGATCTAGATTCGTTTTTACCTCTTCCGTGTCGCTGTCGGACTTCCTCTTTTCAGCATGATTCCCGTAGTCTTCCTCGCAACTTTCTGAAATTCTGGGAATCGCCCTGGTTATTTCTTGTGGTATAATCCTGTTCCTTACTTCGTTTTGCCAGCGCAGTTTTCTCGTGGGTTGTTGAACTATGGGTTTCTCCTCAGGTAGAGGATCTATCGTTACAATGGCTCGTCCGGCTATCACAGATACGCTATCATAAAATGCCAAGTTATCGAAGCAGTTGTTGTTTTTTTCTTCTTTTTCTGGGACCTCGTACAGTGCTATGCTTTCGTCGTAACAAAAGCGCTTTTCTATGAGATGCCAATAGCATGTTTCCAGGCAACTGAAACAGAAAAGTGCGTTTCACTTGACCCGCATCGAAATGAAATGGAACAACCTCATAAACGCAAGGTAAAAGCACAAATGATGACGACCTCAAGCTACACCCATTGGTATGCATAAATAATGTAGAGCAAAACATATTACAACATTGGAAACGTTATGGATAAGGTCTTTGGAAATTTATTGAATTGGTGACTTTGCAGATCAAAAATACGAGTGACACATTTTTTGTAAGGTTTCTCAGTCAATAATAATATAAAAACGTGAATAATTAACAAAAATCGGCATTCCACTTTGTTAACATACTTCGTAGAACTGGAACTGGGAAATTACACAGCAATTAGTGTTGTCATCAATGGTTTTCTAATTAGTCACAGTTCCTTTTGTTTCACCATCCGTTTTGGTAATTAATAAGAAAAATACTCGTTGTTTTTGGAGGTAAACATAATGGTAAACTTACAATTAAATGTTAATTAACTTCGTTTTACAGCGGAAGTTAATTTGATGATGATTTTCCCAAGGTTAGACATGCAAAAATTCGCATGATAAAAGAATAATAGCTAGAGGCGTGTAATGATTTTTCTGTTCACTGGAGCTGACTAGGATGGACAATGTAAACAGCAACTAGTTTTAAAACTTTTCTTTATTTTTATTCATGAAGATGAGAAACACATTTTTTGTTTTCAAATTTAAATAAATATAATGTTTTAAAAACTGTCGACGTTTACAGATCAAACAAATACGTATTCAACAATCATGAAATAATAATAAACCTTTAAATCACATTCTCTCAGACATGTAATATTCTTTGAGAAAATCGTGATGAATCACATCTCAAACAATCTAAAGTGGCACCTTTATACTGACGTAAAAGTAATCTTAAACATGTCGATTTATTATCTTTGGCAACAAGTAAGGTAATAATATCAAATTTCGTTGATGTATTTAAACAAAGTTTACACAGATCTAAGCTCATCCTGAATAAAATTACTAATCACGCAATAAATTACAGGCTTTATTGTTTAATAAATTTTAAAAACACTTACATGATGGAGTGTGTCAAGGACAAAGTGATGGAAGATCACTCGTTTCCGGTATATCGAAAAAAAAAAAAATTACTCATTTAGGTAATAGCTCCAAGTTATTTCATTTTACTGGCGTTTCATTTAAAAATAACACACCAAAACTGTATTTTTTTTCAGAAGACTCCATATATACGAACGTGTGGATTATTATTATCGTCTGGAATTTTTTAAAACAACTGGGATTTAAAAAAAAAAAAACTATATTGCAAAATTCGCTAAGCGGAAAGACATAAAAATTTAATAATGCATCGTCTTATGTGTTCAAAACATTCCATTTGCAAACTGATATTTTTCCATTTTATTACATTTTTTTCTAGATACGTTTTTTTGACACTAATTTTATTGGAATTTATTTTTGTCTAACGTGCAATTTCATGTTTTACTGGAATTTCACAATTTATGGAATATGAAATAGACGATTTTTAATTTCTGTCTATCGTAGGATCGTAGGCATTTCAACAACAAATATGGATTTGCTTTAAAAAATTAATTTGAGCTATCAGAAGTATATAAAAGATTCCACAAAAGAAGCAGTTTTGGTTTTTGCTTAAAAAAAAATTCTGAACATTAATTGAAAGTAATTTTAAATTGTAAACTTAAGCGAGTTCAAACCGAGGATGACAAACAAATTGAATTCCACTTAGTCTGGAAAAGACATTTTTTTCTGCTCATAGGAAAAAAGCAAAACTCAACTTGTTACAGGGATGATATACAAATATTCTAAAATTTCACAGTTTTTTTTATATTTTCAGTACATCATAATGAAAATAAAAAATCTATTAAATATGAATACGAAGAAAAGATTTGTCTACATATTTTATTTTTAAATTTTGATTATCTAAAAAAAAATTGCAAAATACTGGCATATAATTTGGAGTACGTTGTCGCGGGATCGATAGACATTTTTTAAATTTCCGGTTTTAATTTGAGATTAAGTTTATAGGAGATTAAAAGATAAACCGATAACCTCACAATTGTAAAAACATTGATAAAAAGTTAGTCTAAGGTTATTTAGACAGCACTTCCCTCGTACCTTAAATATAATCGAAAAAATTCAGTTTTTCGAAAAATTATAAAATTTTATTTATTTTATGATAACATTGATAACGCAGTCCCACTCCACTACGAAGCAGTTGATGCACAAACGTGATATCAGCTGTATGAGTTACGTGGAAAATATTGCACAACATTTTTTTGTAAATTAACTGTGATAAAAGCAAAGCAAATTCATAAACCACGGGTACAAAAGAATTTATAGATAACTGTTACGATGCAAAATGATGAGGGGATATCATAACATTATTGGGGGGATGATTAGACATATTCTGGTCAGCGTTTTACCATCTACATAATATTCCTAAAATTCAGATAAAATTTGATTAAAATCAGTCCGGTAGTTATTTCTACTTCTGTACCAGATATGTTAAAATAAAAAACATGCAAATATTTCCATCTTTGAAAGTGATTGAGCAATAATTTTTTAGATACAACTTTTTTTAATATTAGTGGCAAATCCAAATATGTAAAAAAAACTTCAGTGTAACAAAAAACAGTTTTTGGGTGTTAAAAATGTTATGAGTGTAAAGAACACTTTTCTCACAATGATCATGAAAATGCATTGCGTAAAAGTCCTAACTGAACGATTATGCATTTAACTGCAACCCCATTTTATGTTGTTTTAATTATTCTAAGCAGACACTGGTTTCAAGATAGACAAGTTCTATGTTTTCACTTAACAAAAGTTGTCGACTGACTTGTGTAATATGTAAATAATAGTAGTATTGCATTACTTTAATCCTAACACTTAAACCTGAAATAAGCACTGCCACTAAATAAAACTATTTAAAAGATTACGAGATTTAAAATTATACGACACAACAAATTCATTTAATATTTTGCACATTATGTAACAAAACACTAAAATGTCTATAATTCCTAAGGTCACGTACTAATGCTACACATTTCAAAAAAATGTTGACAAGTGTCTTATCTAATTTATTTCACGGAGTAAAGTGTAACGGAAGCGTGGTAAGTTAAAATAGAAAACATTCTTACAAATTATAACTGCAGAAAAAAATTAACACTTACTGCTGAAGACATTTGCACATTCTGTCTCACAAATACCACCTCAAGTCACTACAACCTCATAATTCTCTGTATTTTCTACGTATCACTTGAAAATAATAAAGCAGGTGATTAACAGATATGACGATAAAGTTGATACATCGTAATAGTCCATTTTACAATAGATGTCATTTTATAAAACAAACGAACACATTTTCCTACAAAGACATATTGCTTGTAAAACACACCAGCACATTACCTTGAACAACCTATTTCTAATTGCGGTCTTATCGGTTTTTTACTGGCAGTGCAGCAGAGTTTGAATTTAATTTGTTGCTATTAGCAGTAATTTTACAATAAATGCTAAACACCGTGTGGCTTGGGTAAACATAAATTGTTGACGCGACCCATTATGTATAAACGTCTTAAACTGTCTTAAACTATCATTAAAATCATTTATCTTGCTTTATTATTATATGGAGGGTCTTTAAATTAGATCTTGATATCAGTAATTTAACGAAAACAATAAAATGCGCACTTGAATTATGGATACAGATACGTCATGAGACAAGGAGATTTATTGTTATATTTTTCCCGAGATTTACATTTTTTGGCTGCGGGAACAAATAAATGTGTTCATTAAATTTTATGCGATGTTAAAGTTAAGACAAATAAAGATGTTGTGGCGTCGAGAGTTGCAATGATTTGTTTCTATTAATACAATAGTAATGCACAATAATGTTTTACGTTGATGTAATTTCAGGGAAAGAATAAATTTTATTTTATGCGCGCTTGTTCAACAACAAAAAAATTAAACGGACATATCGTTTACGAGTTCCGGTTTGTTTAATGCCTATTTATTGTCGGTGGTAATGCTTACGAGTAGTTTGAACTATTTATATTGTTCATTCTAATAAAACGTCATACGTTTGAAAATTGGAAACTTATTGGACATTGTTTTGACTCGTCTTTAGTGCCAAAAATGAAGAACGAACGTCTTATTTGTTAAGGTTTCAAAAAAAAACCCACTTTCATAACACGCACATTAAATTCTACCTGGGAAACCGCTGGCCGTAATTTGGAATTTTCTAAAAAAACTAGATTTTCGGAAAAAATATACACGCGAACTTTTTTACTCATTAATTGATGAAGACTTTCCAATAACGTCATAGTGTTACTTTCACAGCAATGAATAATTATATTTACCTGAGAAAAACAAACTTTACAACCGCTAAGTGCGGCTTGACACTTACTCAAATTTTGTTTGGTTTTCGGACAAACACAAACGAAGTAGTGACGCATTTAATTAACGTTGGTCTTACAATTTCCCAAAATTTATTAAATTGAAATCTTTAGAATCCATACATTTCTCAGAAAGATATATGCTTATTTCAAAAGTTGCCACGAAATTTTAGTGTTTTTTTTAATAATTATAATTTTTTGGTTTTGTGACAGTTACAGCTCTTTCCTTCTCCTTATACAGTGTGTATTTATTAAAAATAAAAAAAGTACTAAAATGGTACCCTTTTTTTTAAATGACAAACTAAAATTATTTTCAGGTGAAGAAGTTCTCTGGTCGTACCACACAATTTATTAACTTAGATATAGCATCCCTAAGTTATTTTAATTTTCTTCTTTCAACATTACAATGCTTCACAATATGGATAGATAAATTGATAAGATAAATTAAGATATCGCTTCATTGTAATAACAATAAAGTTGATAGTGTTTATTAACAAATTTTAAAATGTACACAATTTTCAGATAGTTCCATCTTTGCATTGTTAAAAAACTGGTCTAAGTTATCTATACAGAATTTCTTGCTCCTTCTTTCAAAATTAAACCGCTTGTTGCTTAAATAAAAAAAAAATATATTGAAAAAAAGCCCAATGAATGGTTCGAACACACGACCTTCGGGTTATTTGGATGCCTGGGGTAAAAACATAAGTCGGGTTCATAAACTATAAGTACAACAATATGCTATTTTATAAAATTTAAATAGCGTTTATTAAAAAAAAATGAGAGGACATCATCAAAGTGTTGGAGGGGTGATTAACCAAATGTTGGTTATGTTTTCGTATTCTATGAGCCATGAAACGTCTATAAAACATGAAAGTAGTCATTCACCGAATGTCTAAAAGTAGAGTAACTCGGCAATACAGAATTCCAAAGAAAAAGTTGTTAAGCCAAAGTACGGACCAATCAGGGAATGTCATAATATATAGGCTATTCTGTTAAAAAGACCAAGTTGTATGTATCTTGCGACTCAAAAAAAAAACCATTGTTGACAATAATTTTAGTTTACGCTGTTCAAAGAGCATATTTAATTGTATCTAAGTATTATTTATGCACTACTTGCTATGAAAATTTGTCCCAAATATTTATCAGTATTTATACGACTCATTAAACATAGCTCCATTGCTCATCAGATTTCACAAAAATTATAACGCAATTTTTAATTTTTTGTTGTATTTTTCTTTATTTATTTCAACAAATTTTCAGTTGCTTTTGGAATGAAAACACTTTTTTTAGCGCAACGTTTCGGAAGTGGCTACTTTCATCATCAGAGTTTACTCAATTATATAATATATAACTTATATTTTTAATGAAGCGCTCATTGTGTTGAATTTTGTTGTCGTCCATAATTATTTATAATTATTTATTTAATTTCCCTGTTAAAGATTCTAAACATTTTTTTGCCATTACTGTAAAAACCTGTTTATGTTACTAAGAAGGCGCTTGAAATAGAAAAAAAGTCAAATAATAAAATTGTTCTTTAAAGACCATATATTAAAATTATTTTCAACGATACAGAGTGTTCTGTTTCTAAGGTGTAACAGGCAACTTAGTTTTTTCAAATGATATACCTATACACTTTTTGATTTCCTGATTGACCTCTTACTATTCTTTATAACAACAGTTTGTTTTAGGAATTTCGACGCGACATTGCTAGGTTATTATTATTTTTTTGAAATTTTTGGCAATGGAAGGATTTAAAAAAAAAATGGCAATAGTATAACGAGGATGGGATTCGAACTCACGCATACACAACTCATTCAAACTCAGCGCTTGAACGGACTCGGCTACGATGCATTTAAATATCGATTGTATAAAACATGTAGCGAATATTGTATAAACATTTTTATGAAGCAATTGTGAGTAAAATTTAAAACTTAATTCGTATTCATAAACCACAAGCGTAGGAGTATATAATTTTTACAAAATTTAAATAATGTTTAATGTACAAATTTTGAGGGGATGCTATCTCACATTGTTGGTGGAGATAATTAGACACATTTTGGTTAGCGTTTTACCATCTACACAATAGGTTTACAATACACATAAAATTTCTCAAGAATTGGTCCCACAATTTGGAGATTATTTGTCTAAGAAAAATCGACACAGACGACAGACACGGAAACACGAAACCTATTTTTTCGTACTCTAGGGATCATGAAACGTCGAGAAAACATGAAAGTAGACATTCGTCCCAACGACCCTATCCGTATTTCCTTACCTTATGCTCGGGAAGTAGACATTCAAGAAAAATGGAATAATGGGACAACGTTACATTGAAAACATAAAACCTCGCAAGAGATTAATAAGATTATTTAAAAATATATACGATTTTCTATTAAAAAAATATATAAAATATATGCTAAAAGCTAAACAGTCTGTAGGTTCAGTCTAAAATAATAAAGTGCACGACTTTTTTTCATCTTTAATAATAATTAACTGCGCCCCTAAATACTCGCCCTGTATATTTATTTTTCCAGGCAAGTAAAAAAAATGTACAGGGTGAGTTGGCTAAAACGGGAGACCTCGAATAACTTTTTTATTTATGAACCTATGTGAATGGAATTTTGTTGATAAATATAAATTAACATGAAATAATTAATAGAAAGCAAAATAATAATAAAAATAAAATTGTCCTTTTTTTTTTATTGATATGAATTTTAATTTTACTATAAAATTGACAAAAAAATACGCTGTAAACTTTACACTTTTACTATTTGCTAAGATAAGACTGATTTTGGCAAATCACCTACTCTGAAAAAATAAAGGGCGGGTGGGCGGGGCTAGTACTTACTAAGAAAAAACTGATATTGGCAAATGGCATACTCTCGAAGAAAATAAAGGGCGGGTGGGCAGGACTAATAAGTATATATATATACAAAATCAATCATATCTTAGCAAGTGCTAAGATAAGATTGATTTTGTCAAAGACTAAAACCAGGTATGATATCAGGTTCTGATCAGATCTCAAGTTTCATAATTAGGGATTGCAAGTACCAAATTGTTAAGACACTCCTATTAATATCTATAAACCTCTTGACACAGGGATTTTCCCTACAAAGTGGAAAGAATCGAAGACCTGTCGTATCTTGAAAATCGGTGATGCATCTAAAGTTGAAAATTGCAGACCGATTTCCCTCTTTTCCAGTTTTTCTAAAATTTTCGAATTAATTCTACATTCTTATATTCATCCTGTAGTGAAAAGTCACATATCAGAAAGTCAGAATGGTTTTTAAATTGTAGATCCATAACGACAAACCTTTAGCAAAAAAAAACACCATTTAGCAAAATCGCCTTTATTTTTCTAGAGGGTGTAATTTGGCAAAATCAGTCTTATCTTATCAAGTATTAGCCCCGCCCACCCGCCCTTTATTTTCTTAGAAAATAGGTCATTTGCCAATATTTTTACTTCCCGAGCATAAGATAAGGAAGTATAGTAATCGAGTTCATCGGCCGAATTGCCACTTTCATATTTTCTCGACGTGTCATGATCTCTTGAGTACGAAAAAAGGGGTCTCCCGTTTCCATCTGTCTGTCGGGTGTCTGAATCCACTTTTATTAAACAAGTAATCTCCGAAACTACTGGACCGATTGTTGTCAAATTTTGTAATTAGGAATACAATGTAGATGGTTAAACGCTAACTAAAATTTGGCTATTCATCCCCACCACCAATGATATTGACGTCATCTCCAAAATTTATAACAAAAAGTTTTTTAAAATCTTATAAAATAAGATACTCATGCACTTGTGGTGTGTGAATAAGTGTCGAACTGTATAACAATATTTTGTAACATAACTTTGAAACTCCACAACCGAACGCTCTGAAAACCTGTAAATATTTTAAGTTTTATTCGTTTATCCCTTCCGAAAAAATTGATAATGTCATCACAAAATTTTGCCGAATAAATTTTATCCAAAATGTGCAAAATATGATGAGTCTATACTTGTACTTTATCACTACAATAAAAGTTATAAAATTTCTTATACAGGGTGACTCATAAAAAATAATGAAAGGATCAATTTATTTTATTGATTAAATCGGAAACGGCTCACTCCGTTTTCCAGAAAATTTGGGAATTCAATACTGTTATTATTAGTATTACACTACACCTATCCAAAGTGATATACGTGTCTTTGTAAAAATGTTGATAACGTCATCACAAAACTTTGTTAAAGGAAAACTGAATTGGAACGTACGCTCAGCATCCTTCTTTACTTTAACGTTACATACACATCTCTATTTTAACTTATAAGGCTTCTCATAAAAAAAATTAAATCCGCATATTCAAATTTTATAATGTCTCGAAAAAGCGGGATTTGTTTTACTGCATTTCAGGGGCGAGGGAAGTTCTGTCGAAATAACCTTCGAGCAATTTTTTTACTTTTGATACGTTTTATTTGTTTTTGTAAAACAATGTTTTCTTAAAACATTTTCTGCGCTTTATTTTCTAAACACGTTGTTATCAATGCAATGAAGCATTTATTTTTGAGACTCATGAAATTATTTCATTCATTATGCTTTCTGAATAATCTGATCCAACATTTTATCAAATTTTACTCAAAGTTGCCCTAGCGAAGAACAGAAAATGTATTATTTTTTTTTAGCTGACTCACCCTGTACACAAGTCAAAAAATCTTAATCATGTATCGTTTTTCTGCATCATCAAGAACGCCGTTTTCATTTAAAATAAAAAAAAAATGGAAAATTATTAATTTTCAGCTTTGTAAGGACAATTGTGAAACTATTAAATGTATGGCGAACAATGAACAATTAACCATTCGGTAAGTGTACTTCACAGTCGCAAGTCACAAGCTATTTTGATACATGAAACATTGTATAAAACTCGCTTAGAACTCGTCATTTTGCTCTTGGCGTGGTGTCTACATCGACCTTTCTTCAGCTGAACAATTTTCGCGCCTTGGGCAATGTGATTTAGTTTTCACACTTGCTTAATAAATCACTATTCCAAAGTCGAGTAGTTGTCTATTTTAGGTCATACAGTTAGGTGATTTGTTTTGACATATGATTTCAGTTTAATGTGATAGTTTAATAGATTACCATTAAAATGACGTTGAATTTTATATATACTGCATTGCATTACTAGCAAATTTAAAAAAAAAATAACAGTACGGATAAGCTTATGACTTTTTAGTTATTGACCTATTTGAGTAAATACGTAGTAACTGATAAGAGAGGACATAGTTTCATATTTACAGTAAGGTGTTGCTTTGTTAATTGTCTGCATTCAAACAAAGTAAAACTTTTTAACTAATGAATTTTACACATAATTAATTTCCAAAAGAAACAAACTGCTTCAATTTTACAAGTCGTTTAAGAAATGAGTCCACTGTCAACCCAGGAGATTAAGGTCGTATGATTGGTTCTCTACTTTTATTACACACATAGGTATATAGATTACACGTGACCTTACTAGATAAACAAAATTAAAACATTGCCTTCTTTGAAGGAAAGCGTCAAAAGGAAATGATGAATAATTTTGTTTCACGTAATCCTTTCTTCCTGAGATAATCGATAAAATACCTGTTTTTCGGAATAAATAAGCTATTATTCATTAGTTCTGTTGTTACTTTGTAAATAAACCGGAACTCATTCGTCTGTTTAAGTACATTCTGCCTTTTTTGGTGTTATTACATAATATATTACTAGCTGACCCGGCCACGCGTTGCTGTGGCTAAAGTTTTTGTTATATTACATTATAGTAAACAATCTAAGAGGAACAATAAGAGAACATCAGTCACGGAGTCCACTATGCTTTTTCACACAGATGGTATTTGTAAAAAAATATGGTGATATTCTTATTTGACTTTCTACTACTATAACCCTTTAGTAAGAAAGTAAATAGATAATTGTCAAATTTACCGGTATTTGGATCATACTGTTTGATATTAAGGTGATATTCATCTTGTCCTTGCCAAAATATCAATGGATATTGTAGTGCGTCATATGAACGGTGTAGATCCGAAATCGTACTGACAGTGTTGTCTCGCCGTGTAATTTTTATAGATCTCTTGTCAACTGGATCACCAACCATGATAACAGCAACCTCATCAACAGTTGGAGCGTTGAATCTACCAGCATGTTCACCTAATGGTACTTTGTCGGCTTTTATGACGATTTGATAATTGTCATTTTGCAGTCGTGGCGAAACTCTTTTGATCAATTGAATTAGTTGATTGTGATCTTCTAAAAAATTTTCCAATAATATCACAATTGCTCTTTCCTCTGCTTGTTCAATAAAATTATACAGGCACCGAGTCGTCACGCGCTCTTCACAATCGCCCATAAAATAAATTTGAAGAAATTTCGGATTGTTATCAGGCATTGGCATCAGTGATCCGATTTTATGGTAGACCTGGCCTTGAATTTTGAATGTAGTTTCAAAATTACGTCCATCGGATGCACGATCGCAAATTTTAGTTGCCCCAAATGACGTCATTTGGAAGCAAGAATTAAATTTGCGTATCTTACGCAAAAATAATTTGGAATCATCTGAATTGCCAGTAAGAAGGGATAATAAAGGCTCCGGCGGAGCGGGTAAAGGTGACAGCACAACTTTTCCTGATGCGCAGCACATGCCGGCTGCTTCATTCCGAAATTTCAATGCCTGACAATATTGACATACTTTATCCATTCCACCGATAGCAATTTTTGAATGCGCTGAGTAGTTAATATCTGGTGCATATTCAAAGGCAAGCCGAACGAATGATGCACGTGTTAATGAGCGGCTGATCCGTTGCCTTTGTCGATCTAGTATTCGTACTGTAGCTATGTTTCGTTCTCGTGCCGCTCTTGTTCTCGTAATATTCTGTTGCCGACGTTCGTCACGCTGTTCTTGAGATTCTTGTGCACGACTTTCTGCAATCCTGATTCTTTCAGCTGCATTTCTTGTTTCGATTTGTTCTGGTAATTGCTGAGCTCTTTCAACACGTTTGCGTCGTGACCCTTTGCTGCTCGCGTTGTTGAGGTTAGATTTTTTCGGTGGCATCTGACTGACAATAATAATTTAATCAGTTATAATATATTAAGTGCATCGCAATGTTATCGATAATTTTGAGCAACAATAACTCGAATGCTTGTTGCATTGAAAACGCACGAGTGCTTTAGCACGAGTGCATTTTTCTTAGGCAACAAGCATGAGAGATTATTGTTGTTCAAAATTATCGATTTCATTGTGATGCACGCAATATATTCAACAGATTATTGCAAGAACAAACATTTTAAAAATAATTTTATAATGATTTACGAAGTAGTTTGGTGTGCGATACTATGGCGACGCAAGTAAATAAGAACAGCCATTTTGCAAAATTTGTGTGGGTTTAAAAAACCATGTCCAATTTTCGTTTTGGTCGTAACACGCCAAAAGAAATTGATGATTCTATTACAAACATTACGCCGCTAAATACGAAGAACTCACGAAATTCAATCTGGAGGCAATTTGAGAAGTTTTGCGGTGAACGCAAATATGTTTTTGATGGAAACACTTCCACGGAAAAACTAGCATTCATCCTCAAAGATTGGGGGTACAATATGAAAAAAGTCGATGGTAATGACTACAAAGAAGCAGTAATAAAAACGATGTGGAATGTAACGGCAAAGCAGTTGCAAGAACTGTATTTCAATAAATTTGGTATAAAGTTTGATCCTTTTGTTGACCTGGAATTCAAGGGTAGTAGAAATGCACGCGACGCAAAACGCCGGAACCTACAAATACAACCGGAAAAACGCAAAACTAGTTCCTCAATTTTGACTCTAGAAGAATACAACAAGATTCTAAAGATTTATAACGAAGACACGCCAGATGGTTTACAGAAAATGTTTTTTTATGTGGCTGGATTAGAATTAGCTTGGAGGGGATGTGAAGGTGTTAACGTTACTATCAAACATTTTAAGGAAGAAAGTGATAATTGTGGTTTGCCTACGGGGCGAATAGAATACAATTGTATTTTTTCCAAAACAGCTCAAGGAGGTAGCCATAAATTAACAGACAGCAAATGGCTTGCAACAAACACCACAGATCCTAGAATTTGCCCTGTTAGGTAATTAAATACTGTTTCAAATACAAAATAATAATTATTTTATTATTTAAGGCTCTACAAAAAAATGCTGAGCAAGAGAGGTAAACATATAACCACCGATCGTTTATTTTTAACGCCAAATCCTGCATGGAGAGAACCTAGTTCTGTAGGATGGTTCAAAAATTCACCCGTTGGAAGGAATGAAATGGGGAAATGGACAAGAACCGCCGCAGAAGAAATAGGCATCGACATAAAGAAAAAGAAGATTAGTAATCATTCATTACGGTCAACTGCAGTGTCGCAACTTGCAAAAGCGGGAGTCGGTGAAGAACAGCTTATAAAGATTACCGGTCATGCCAATACTTTCTCCATCAAACCATACCTTCAGCTCGATGGAGATCATCATTATCAAATGATTGACAAATTACGCGCCAACTCAACGGCTATGGAAGAGTCTAATAACAAATCCACAAATTGCGCACCGTCTGCTTTGGTACAAATGTCTAAAAATATAGTTACTACTTCACCAAGCACACAAACCCCTGTAAATTACTACAACTGTACCATAATTAATTACAATTCTTAGTTTCATAATTAAATATTTGGTTAGTAACCTCTTGTTTTTTTTTGCAATTAACTGGTACTTGCTTATCTTATAGTTGGCACATCTGGCTAGTGATAATTATCGGTAGTGGTAATTGCACAGTGTGCAATTATCACGTAATTGTATGCTGATTGGTTGAATTTACAAATATTGACGCGTTTGATTGGTCAGTTGACATCATGTGACATGTGAGTGCAATAATCGTTTAAATATTAGAAACCCAGTCGAAAGGTATCGACATCTGTTAGAATCATTTGGAGTTAACAGATAATTGTGACTGTCAAATAATAGCAGACAAATAATTAGCAATAAATTAAAATTGCGACTATAATTTGAGATTTAAACTATCCTATAACTCAAGTTGGATCGAACTGCACATGGTGTGCGAATTTTATTATAATCGGTTAAGTGGTTTAGCAGTCCATTGAGGACCAACATTGTGACACGAGATTTATATATATTAAGATATCTCAATTAGAAAGTTAAAAAAATAGATGGCTATATGAAATAACAAAAACACAGAGCACAAAAAAACCTGAATTCATGTATGTGTGGAGGCGGAATACGACAATAACCTCTCCCCGGCCCATTAACCTAGTTTTCTCATGAGATACTCATCAATGAAAACTTTTGCCTAGTGATTTTTACTTTCCCTTAAACTATAATGTCGTATTTCGCGCATACATAATTAATTTACATAATAAAACACACCAAAGTCCTACAAAGTACAAACGCTCATTATTAAACTGTAACGTGACTCTTGTTATAATAGTTCAAACTCTAAACACAATATTTCACCGTCTACATGAGCTATTTATTTTTTTGTGTAAATATATCTAATTATGTAACATCAAAATCAACAAAAAGTACGTTAATGTTTATTACTGCCAGTATTTGAAAACGTTTCCGTAATGGTGCTGGTACGTTTTACAACAAAAAACACACACACTACACTTTGAAGCCCCCACACAATAACAAAAATTTCACAAAATTTTTAAAACCACCTCATAATTCCTGGTTCATTTTAAACGCGGACGAAGCGCGCCAGCGTTCGACACAAACTGATCCGACTCCTATAACTCATGCCTGACTTAATTGCAATGTTCCTATATAATTCTGACATTGAACTTATTCCTTTCACTGGCTGAAGTTTGCCTCGTTTTGTTGTAATGGTGGTTTCACTACAAACCTGTGTTATTCACCTGCATGACAGTATTAATTTTTTGTAAAAAACTCCCTGCTTGAAGGCTTCCGCTTTGTGAAACAAGCTTGCTTTTTGCAAATGGCTACGAATCGAGATTAACGCAAAACGGGTAATAATTAACTTGTTTACCAAACAATTTCTGTGAATTCGATCAAGTTATGACTAACCGGATGAGCAACATTAGTGTATGATCCCAGGTTTCGAAAGACGCAGCTGAAAGAGTTGGACGTTTTGATCTTTGACGTACTTGGGTAACTTGGGAAAATACCGGTGCTACTAATTTGTTTGAATCGTGTTTGGAATTGAGGTATTCGTGGTATTTCCCAGATTAAGATATTTTCGAGGTTTTGTGAAATACGAGTTCTTCAGAATATTTACAGTTTCTGGTATATCTCTTTCCTAAATTTTACAAACCCATCTGCTCGCAAAATTAGAATATTGGCACAAGGTTCACTAAATAACTTTTTAAAATGACGTCGTAAAAATTTTGGAGGTAAATATACTAGTTTGATATCACCAAACATAACGTTAATGTATTTAGCGAAAAATAATTAATAAACGATAACTAAAATAAAATTATTACACACTATTTTTTAATAAAAAATTCAGTCGTTAATTTTAATATTGTAACAATAATAATTATAATGTAATTGTGCCGCCCTTGTTCTAAAAAAATTAAATGTGCCGTTTCCGAGATAACTGATAAAATAAATAAGTTCATACATCAAGATTTTTGTGATATGGTGCGTAAACATTTGAAACGTAAGATTATTATTAAACCCCAGGTAAAGGAACATGTTATGCTGCACGTTTAAAGTGAGATTTTCTGGGTAAGATTTTGTCATAGTCAAGGATTTTTTAGTGGGGACAAATAAATATGTTAAGTTTAAACCTGTGATCCTAGAATTTAACTTTTTTTTCTTTAATCGGTAAATTAATTCGCTGCATTTACTAATTGCTTCCTCGTTTACTAATTAATAGGTACATAGGTAATGCATCGGGACATGTTTTTCTGATCAAACATCATCAACTTATCAAAATAGTTTTATATTCTTTAAATCAATAAAAAAACAAAAATTACTTGGATTGGCCATAATCACTAATCTATTCAGCAAAGTGGGTGAAACTCTTCACCACTCATTTTCTTCTGGTCTCCTGTTGTGACCACTCGATTACATAAGTCAAGTTTCGTTCATTCGTAATCGTAGATTTTTTTTTCCCTGGCGTTTTAAATTCGAAGAATTAATGATATTTTATTAAAATGAATTACAAATGAAGATATGAATTCAAACATTGTTATGAAATTACACAATTAAACGATGAAACCTGAAAATATCACATTACACTAAAACTTACAGTCAGACTCTAGAAGTCTGTATACAGGTGGTCACTAAGCGCGCGCTTAAGCCGTACCTATAGTTCATTGAAGACTATATAAATAAAGTTATTTGCAACTATACAGAGTGTTCTGTTTTTAAGGTGTTTTTTCAAGTCGAATACGCTATATATTTTTGTAAATTCTGATTGGTTTCTTCTTAAACTCTTCATACATTATAACCGTAGTCTCTTTTCGAAATTCCGATGAGATATTGCCAAGTTATTCCAATTTTCTTGAAATTTTTTACCAGGTTCATTAAAAAATCGCAATAATTTTATTTATAGAACCTGTGTTGCAAAATTTATTGGAGAGATAAATAAAGCTACGCTCTTCAGCATGGTACTAAAATTGCAGTTTAGTAGAGTACAGTATAACCTCGATAATCCGAATTAATTGGGGAAAAGGTGTGTTCGAATTAGCCATTTGTTCGGATCAGTGAATTTCCCAAAAATCTCAATTTTTTTTTTTCTATTCCGATAATATTGCTCCGTGACACCTGAATTTTTTGAAAATCTTTAGACGACTTTTTAAAAAATTTAATTTTTCATCATGCAAATTTCGACACATTTTCGACGATTTTCGAAATTTAACGAAATAGGAATACATTTTCTTGTAGATCTCAGGCCGCAGAAGTTATTCCAGAATCGCGTATTGAAATCCCGTAATTTTTAAAAATTTCAAAAAGATCCTAATTTCACTCCGAATATTTCGAAAATATTGCTCCGTGGCCCCAAACATGCTTTATGTTTTTGGAATCAAAATCAGAATTTTTAGACGACTTTTTCAAAGATGAAATTTTCTTCCTTATGCAAATTTCGACCCATTTTCGACGATTTTGGAAATTTAACACATTTTGACTACATTTTCTTGTAGATTTCGGGCCGCAGAAGTCACTTCCGGCCTCATTTCTCCGATAACTCTAACCGTTTTTCCAGAATCGCACTTTGAAATATAGCAATTTTTATTAATTTCAAAAAATTCGAATTTCACTCCGAATATTTCGAAAATATTCCTATGTGACCGTAAACACGATATATTTTTGGAATTAGATCGTCAAGATCTATAACCCTGCATTTTTTGAAAATTTGTAGAAGAATTTTCAAAAAATGAAATTTTTACAAAATTAAAGAAGAGAGAGAAAAAGGGGTGAAGGTACTGTTTTGGAATGTCCAAGGGTTGCGAAAAAAGGAAAAGGAGTTCTGGGACTACGAAGGAAAATTTGATGTTGTGGGGCTAGTAGAGACTTGGGTACAAAGAGAAAACTGGGAGAAATTGGAAGAGACACTACCACAAGAATATGTGTGGGAGTGTCAAGGGGCGACAAACGAAAAGAAAAAGGGGAGAGCAAGCCGGGGAATAGTAATGGGAATTCGAAAAGAAATGCAAGAATTGGAAAAGGAAAGTAATAATAAAAACGGACTAATGAAGAAAGTAAAAACAGGTGGAGTGGGAAGAAATAGAGAGTTTCGAAGTGGGGGAAAGGGTGGAATCAGACCACATGCCACTAGAAATAACAATCAAAGGAAAAGAGTAAGACCACGAATGGCAAGAGAGAAGAATCGAAAGAAAAGAAATAGAAAAAAGAATATGGGATGAAGAGGGAATTCAAAGATACAGAAGTAGACTATAAAAAAAGAAATTCGAAGTAAAAGAAGATATAGAAGCTATGATGGTGGAACTGAGCAACCTAATTGTAGAAGCTACGGGAAAAAGGAAGATATATATATATATATATGGCAAGGGAGGAATAATGGATGGAACGGAGAATGTAGTGAGTTGAAGAGAAAAGCAAGGAAAAATTAAGAAAATGGAAGAATAACAAGGGAAGGAACGAAGAGTACCTAAAAGCAACAGAGAATTATAGGAGAAAATGGGAAGAAAGAAAAAGAGAAAAACGAGAAGAAGAAGAGAAGACAATAAAGTCCCTGAAAACAGAAGAGCAAGTATGGAGATATATAAACAAGGAACTGAGAAGGAAGACTCAAGTCAGCGGGAAAATCAAAATACATGAATGGAAAACACACTTTATGGAATTGGGAGGTTGTGAGGAAAAATGCTGCAAAATAAATAAAGGAATCACAACGACGGAAGAAATGTGGAGAGGTTCGAAAATAACAAAAGATGAAATAGTAAGACAGATTGAAAGACTGAAAGGAGGAAAGGCACCAGGAGGGGATGGAATCCAGAACGAAGCGTGGATGTTCGGGAGAGAAGGAGTGAAAGAAAAGATATGGGAAGTGGTAAATGGAGTTTGGAAGGGAAAAGAGTTTCCTCGGCAGTGGAGAGAAGGTATAATAATCCAATTATTTAAAAAGAGGCAAAAAAGTGATGTGAAGAACCACCGAGGGATTACCTTGCTCAATACGGCGTACAAGATATATACAATGATACTCGATGAGAAGTTACGAAAGGAGATGGAAGCAGACGGTCAGGCAGGGTTTAGGAAAGGAAGAGGTACTATGGACAATGTGTACATCCTGCGGCATTTAGTGGGAAGAGAAATAAGGAAAGAGGGTGGACGAATGTACGCATTGTTCATAGATTTCAAAGCAGCATTTGATAGCGTGAATAGAGAGAAAATGTGGGAGTATTTGAGGAGAAAGGGAGTAGATGCATACTTGGTAACGAAAATGGAAGAAATATATGAAGAAACAGTAAATACGGTGAGAGTGAATGGAATAGAGAGTGAGAGTTTTTATACAAATAGAGGAGTGAGACAAGGATGCCCACTCAGCTCCGCATTGTTTGCAGCTTATCTAGGAGATATAGATGAAATGTTCAGAAAAGCACAGACAGGAGGGGTGGTAGTCGGCAAAGAGAAAGTGTGTCGTTGGCGTACGCAGATGATTTGGTGATTGTGGCAAAGAAAAGAGAAGAAATGAAAGCAATGATTAAAAGTTTGGAGAAGTATGTAAAAAAAAAGGAATTGGAAGTGAATGTGGATAAAACAAAAATGGTAGTGTTTGGGAAGAAAGTAAGAAAGGAGAAGTGGGCATGGAGAGGGAAGAACATTGAACAGGTGAAAGAATGCCAGTACTTAGGATATACATTAAAGAGCAATAAATCAGATAGAACGCATATTCAAGAAATTGTCCAAAAAGCAAACAAAGTGATAGGAATAGTATGGGGAATAGGAGAGAGAAAATTTGGACATGATTATAAGAGAAGAATGATGATGTTTGATAGTTTGATCAAAAGTGTATTTATGTACGGAGCTGAGATTTGGGGATGGAGGGAATATGAAGATATAGAGAGAGTGCAAGAAAAATACTTGAAATGGACATTGGGATTGGAAAAGTATACGCCGGGGTATATAGTGAGAGAAGAAACAAAAAGAGAGAAAACGAGAGTGGAAGCGGGTAAAAGGGCGGTTGGATTTGAAGAGAAGTTCAACGAGAGATGTGATTGCAAGCTATTGCAAGAATGTTGGAAAGAAATAAGAAAGGAAGGGGGAAACATATTTGGAATGAAAGGGACAAGTATTATGAAGGAAAGGGATACGCATGTGAAGAAATGGAGAGAATGAGAGAAATGGGAAGGAGTATGAAAGAAGAACTGAGTGTAGGAGATAAGGATATAGATAAGCAAGAACGTAGATCGAGAATATCGGAGTCTAGATATAATGCAGACTATAGAAAAATAGTAAAGGATGAAGTACCAAAGTACACACACAGAGAGAGTATAAAGTAGAAAAGAATGATGGCGGGATCTAGGTGTGGAAATGAAGAGAAAGAGAATAATTTTTGGATGGATGAAATTGACAGAAGGTGTAGAATATGTTGGAGAGAGGGAGAAACAATAGAGCATATGCTGGAAGGATGTGAAGGATTGAGAGAATCGGAGGAAAGTAGGGAAGAAGTGCTAAACGAGGATGGAAGAGAACTGGACTGGATGAAAGAAGTATGGAAGATAAGGGAATTATGGCAAGGGGTGGGCAAGCAGAAAGAATAGAATATTTATTATATAACACTCGAATTTTTATTTTATTTTATTTTATTTATTTTATTGTTATTGATTTATCTGATGTAGATTAAGTTAATTTGTACCCCTACTGGGAATATTATTAAGCCTGTAAGGCAAATAATAAATTAATACTACTATTTTCGTACAATTGCAATATTTTGTTGTCAACTATAAACTCAACAAAAAATGTGTATTTTTACACAGATTACGAATATTTTAAAATATTGTTCATAAGGGATAGCAATTAGATACAATTACTTACTTTACTTTAATAGAGTTTGGGAAATTTAAAACCTTTGTAACTGTTGTTTTCAAAGTTTGTTGTCCAACGGACTAATACATTTTCTTTCCTTTATGACATCGTAAAAGACGACGAAATTTGATACTTACTTTTCTTTAAACTCTTTCAAAACGTTAACATATTCCAAGGTAATTGTTCAAACATAAAACTGTTTTGTAGCATTTGAGTTTAGTATTTCCGGAAAGTACTTATATACAATATTTACAAACGTTACATCGCTCAGTAAATAAGAAAATTTATCTTGTGTTATTTCATGGTAAAATGCTTGAGAATTTAAACACCATGCATTGTAGACGCTTGGGTTTTAATAAGTTACCAACTGTTAAATAAAATTTATATCATCCATTTACAACTTGTAATATAAATACACTATGAAAAATAATTCTAATATTAATTAAAAATTTACAACGTGTATAAATGTGCCAAGCCTATGTTTATATTACAATCAAATGTAATATGTAATATCATACTAGTGAAAGACCTCTTGTATATTCCAGTATTGCATGAATCTTCTTTAAAATCTTTTTTGTAAAAGTATAATGAGATTCCTTTGTTCATTAAGATCAGAATTAAAATGGACAATGATCCTTTATGTTGTCAAGAACTTTCCTACACTTCAATAAAGCAAAAACATAGGTACACAACATACGGTTATCCTCTGAACAAGACACGTAGCTGAATGAGTATACAAAAACCAAATTTTTTGTCATTTCAAGCTTTTGTTCAGATAAGTGCAACTCATGCTTTTGTGTTAAACATGAATGTCTATTGTCATTGTTACCTTTGTTTATTACGTCAACACTGAAGGCTAATTATACATTTGCTATCAAAAAATACTTTTTCCTGGCTTGTTTATGACTTAGACAAATATGTTATTGCTTGAAGTTCACATTGTGCAAATATGGTTTTGTTTCCAAAAATGTATAAAAATTTTCATTGTGTGAAAATGACCTGATCATCTATGTAATCACTAATTATTGCTACTACTGCTGGTGGAGGTGCTGGGCATATCTAGTCTACAGCTCCCATCTTTAATAATATCTTCGTATTTTGGAGGTGGTTCACAATATAATTCTGCAAAAATTACAAAATATTTAATGTTGGTATAAAGGTTTGATTTTATTTACCTGTGTATGGTGGTGGCGCACATGGAAATACACCATGGTTGGTTGAATGATTTTGGCCATTTTCATTCTCAGGTGTAAACGTCGGATTTATATAAATTTCAGTCAAAGAAAGTCTTGGTGATGATATATTAGTTACCCTTTCTGAAAAAATAACACTTGATTTATTTGGTGAAATTTTTATTGAGTGTCGAGACAAACCAGTGTGAGAATTCAAAAATTTTAACTCGTAGATAACTCACCTGTTAGTTCTCTATCACGTTCGTATGATTTCCTAATCTTCTGTAATAATCCGCAAAACGATGCGATAAAAATAATGATCAGGGATATAAGGAGGATTAGTTCTACTTCCACACTGTATAAACCAAAAAAATTATACTTTGTATATATTCGTGGAATACGTACCCCATGGTCCCGGATTGTCTTTCACTATTTTACAAAACTAATTATCGATTTACTAATTTTGACAGATTAGATAAGAAAAGATTTATGTGATTGGTTATCAACAAATATATAAAGGCTTCGTACATTTATACTTATGGAAAAATCACATTAAATGTGAGGACCATCTACAAATTTTTCATTATTTTTCATATAACATACTTACTCGGCGTTTATCCTTACCGTAGATTTTTACATTTTTAACAGGTGTATTAAAGAGTCTATAAGAACTGTAGTAGTTAATAAAATTGAAATCACCTTTTCTTTAGCCCATACTTGGCTAAACTAAAGTAGGTGCTCTCAAAACAATAATTAGATAAGTCCTTTGGTAGCTATAAATTATTAGGATAAGAAACCATTGTTGTTTTAAGTGTTATGTTATTTGTTTAATGATAATTTTGTTTTGTTCGATTTTAATTCATACGAAAAGGTTTTTTGTAATCCTCGTCTTCTGCGTAGATTTTTTTTTAAACTTAATACCACCGTTTAATTGAACAATACAAATTTTTCACCATGTTGCATTTTGTTTTAGTAATTATTATTAAATTACATGTTTTTGTGAAAATCCGGTTTCTGGTAGTTTAGTATTTAACTGTGACATGACACAAATTTATCTCAACTTCAAATCAGATTCTTTGATCGTTTTATTTGTACTAAATAATGGTGTCCCTAATGATTAAAGATAAAAACGTACCTAGATCCCCCATTGATTATTTTGGGCCCCCGAAAGTGTTTTGCTATCAAAATAAAAATGTAACAATTTTCAAAAAAAAGTATACAATGATCGTGAAAATTATAATCTTATAATTAATTATAAAATGAGCTTTGTACGTCTGTAATTTTGAGTGCTAATACGTGATACAATCTGATTTTAAAATCATGTCGTTTAACATAAACTTCGTCATAATCGTAAAGCACATAATGAAATTATAGTTTAAGAACTACAACAATTTTGTGTAACTCAGAATCGTTCTAGAAATTTTCTGGAAAATGGTCAGTTTTTATTAATTTTTTTAATGTTACGCTTTAATATGTGATTATGCTGTTTAAAATTTGAATACAAAAGTCTCCAATTGATACTAAAACACATAGAAACTTATTAGAAAGCTTATCTTCAATTTAAAAATTTCTAGGTAAAATTTTTGAAACAATATATTAAGAACGAGAAGAAAATAAATAGAATACAGGAAATATATTAAAAGCATTTTTACTTACATAAGTACTTCTAGTTCTGTATCTAGAAATGTAACAATAAATCTTATTTATTCCACGCCTTAACTATAGGATGTTACTTACTTACAAATTGTTAGGCATAAATCTTGCACTGGATCAGGATTAACAGTAGTTAGCCGAATCTGCCTAGATGAACTCAAGTATATTCAATTCTCTACAAATAGTTCATAATAATTAAGAGTTAATTATATTCACAAAATTTTGAAACAATAATGGTATTTAGAATGTCCACAGTTAAAAAGTTTTCATTAATTTTACTAAATGACAAAGTTTCAATAAACTTTACCTAATATTCTAATACAAACTACAGTTAAGTGTTCTTTTTGATCCATCTTCTACAGTTTATAACAAAATAGGTAGTTCAAACTGATAAAATCACACCTCTTAACTTTTGAACCCATAATTTTAAGTGTTTTTGCTGTATTTTCATACATCAAGATTTCTACAAGATAATCTTAGTCAAAATGTTAAAAACATCGAAGTCCAATAAGTAACTAAATTTTTTTTGCCGACAGTATTTGTGTCATATGGATATTTGGACATTTTTTTTAGAAATATTACTGGAGCAGTAACCTTAATAAGTTAATAACAATAAATAAAGCTTTAAAACTGGCTGGAATTTAACGATTGTTCGAAAGACATTGTAGTTGTTGGTGTGGGTTGTGGAAATCTGTGATATATTTATGTATCTGCTTGTGTTCAAAATATCTCTTCGGTCAAATGGTTCCAAGAAATAACGTATGAAATGTATAAATTCAGCAGAATAAATTAACATATTAAGAGCGATTTTCCTTGAAGTTCAGTATAAACTGGAAGTCTTCAATGAAACACGTGAAGAAATACTGGTATATCCTGGTATAAGTGTTAGATAACAACTTTGCGGTGACATTAATCTATAGTCAATTGAATTTAATTGACACTTTATTTGTTCTTACCATGGTGAACACATTTTTTACCCCATAATGAATAATCTCCTAGATTCGAATATCTATAATATACTTATACACAAATATGTCTCAATCAAGACTACTAAATGTCCAGGTTGTTGCCCTTCTTTTGTTAAAGAGGTTATTGTTTTCATATAATCCTACCAATGAAATACGTGACGCAAAATAATAGTCATTTTTCTAATTATACAAACGATAAAAAGGATACCTAATAATGAAGACTTATAATTTTGTCCCAAGATTGCCAAATCAAGTTAATCTTTATTAAGCTTTCTGAGATACAGACGTGAGTTTGATTTTTGGTTAATGCGATATCTTTATTGTCAACATATGAGATTCAAAACTCTAAATTCTCTTAATTTAGTCAATATAACACGTAATGTCTAAAAAAAGTACCACAACGTATAATAATCTGCTATTTTGTTCGTTCTTGTGGAAAAAGATCAATAAAACTAAAACTCAATTTTAGTCCTAGGTATATTTAAAAAAATCCGACTGAGATTTTATCATACAATTAAAATTAATTCAAGCATACATATCATACGGAAGTCACGTGACGATCATACTAGATTCATTCTCACACAAACTTATCACAAATTTTCGCTTGAAATATAATACAATATATACATGAGTCGAAACGAATGTTGAATACTTCAGTTCGCAGCACTGGTACTAGTACTAGTGGTGGTAGTAGTGGTTGTGGTACTAGAAGGAGTAATAGTAGTCTTTGGTACAACTGCAGGTACGACAGTATTGTTGTTGTTCGATGCAGCAATATTCATTGCTTCTTCGTACGTAGGAGGATCTGTAACAACACGATTAGGCAACTTCTACAACACAAAATAATCGAAGACGTACCGTCGTTGTATTTGTTAATTTCATTGGTTATCGCGAAGTGGTCTAACGAAACATGAGCATCATGTGTCGGCCATTGTCCTTGTCCTTGTACTCGACTGCTTATGTTGAATATGTCCTCTTGTTGGTTCGCTGTAACAAAGAAAAGATTTTTAGGCGCCGTATATAGAGTATAGTGATTGTTCCATCAATGTCAACTCACTAACAATGTCACGACTAAAGGACTGAGGAACTAAATAATAGTGTTTGTGGTCTTTTCCAATTTTCCATTGCAAAACAACGTACAAAATGTACAATAGAATGATAAAAATCAAGAAGAGTACTGTGGAAATCGAAACATCGAACATTTGTAGTGTTGTTTACGATAAACTGACGGCACGACTGAACTCGTGATTTTCAAACTTATTATTTGTTTTTAATGGAGATAAATAAATATTTGCCGAGGACGTATGATTATTTAACTAAATTGTCTACTTTTCTCGAGTACAAGGTCGAGCGCGCTTTCTATAAATATGCAAAAAAATTTTAATCAGTTTAGTTAAGGAATTTCTTCTTACCTCCGGGATTTTTACTGTTGCGGCAATATTTAAGGCACGTTGCCCAAAGAAAGCAAGCAACACATGCCACACCACTAACTATAGCAGCTATCAGAGTTGTTGTTGTCATTTTAGTAAAACATTGTACAACAGTACGAATCGTTCGTACATAAGATTAATAAAACCTAATTGTTTCTTAGATATTTTGATAATTTATCTCAACGTAGTGACTCGCGTACATCGGTGGCGACTTGAGATAAATACGTCAATGCAATAAGGTCAGATAAGGAATTTCACCAAAGTATTTACGAATCGAGTGGAAGAATTTGATTTTTAGTAGTAAATAAGTCTAAATTATATAGATATTTACAAAAAATTCTTCAAGGTTGGGCTGCTTCACTTGAGAAACTTGCACTAGGTACTTGATATTTGATTATCCTTCAACGAACGATTTTCAAACTTTGGAACTCACTTAAGTACCATGTCAGTCTTGAAAACTTAATTAAACATATAAATATTAATATATTGGGAGTGTGTGTGTCATTTACTACCAATATTCAACTAACTTCAATCCAGTTTAATAAATATCCTATCCACACAATTAATATTAACTTTTAATTAAGACGTTACTCTTGTCGTGACTATACTTACAAATGAAAATGTTATTTCTAATTCTTTCCTGTATTCTTTTTCTACGAATTTTTCTCGTGTATGTCGTACAACCAAGTTTCACAAACAAAAAGCACAAAAAACAAACAAAAAGTACTATGAAAGCATAAATGACATCCTCTACTGAAGACATACTTTACCGAACAGACATTCAAAACAAAATGGTTTTTATTAATCTTATCAAAACTAGCCGAGCTTCAAGTTTTGTTGGAATTATCTCTGATTTTTATTTGGATATAAATAGAGCACACTCCACGAGTCTAAGTTCAAAAATGATTCTAAATACGTCAAACCGTTACTGGAAAAAGCTGTTAAACTAAAAATAGAAAACTGAATGTATAGCGGGAATGAATTGTGTTTTTAAACTGCACAATGTTAACACAGTTATTACGAGTTTCTTAGAATGCAATAAGTGTCCTACTTTCAGATGTAATAATAAATTATTGGAGTGGTTGTTTAAAGAAAATCGAAATTAAAAAATTTAGATATTCACGTTGTGCTTTTGAAAATCTTGCTGTAATGAATTCTAGAAATCACATTTCTGCCTCTTATTTCTTTGATTACAGTTGGTCGTAGTTCTGTAATGTCAAAAAAATCAAAAAATTCATTCTGTAATGTTCTTTATATCACAGCGGTTTTGACAGTCTGTGGAAGCTCTTCAGAAAACAAAATTATACTTAAATGAGAATCAGCTTAAGTGTTATTAAAAAAGAAGATTAGGTATTACCCACCTAATTTTAAAATATCAGTAAATTGTGTCAAGTTTTACTAAAAATGTTTTATTGTAACAACGTAACATTGACAGGGTCAGTTTGTTATCAAAATATCGCAATTTTTTAACATATCTGAGAGGCTTTTTCAAATTTCGTCACTAATGTTTCATCAACTTGGTTTAGGGACTTTCTTATTTGATTGTAGTAATCATCACCAATGAGAATAAAAATTAATTATACTTTGAAACAATTCGCTGTCAAGTTATCTTATATCCTGTTCATCGCAATATCTCTGACAGTACTACTCAAAGATGAATAATGACATCTTTCTCAATTCGTACCCAGGTTAAAGGTGCATAAGTTCATTTTGATTCATATTTAAATAAAGCGATATTTAAACTGTTAACATTGCAGTTACTGAAAAAATAGAATTTAGTAATTTTGACAGCCTTAATTGGTAGCCATGCAATTTACCGTCGAGTGTTGGCAGACTGACCTCCGTCCAACGACTAGTTTGACGTTAAATTAAAAACAAGTAAGATTTGTGTTCTCGTTCTTCCCACCTCGTTCTGGGTGCTTTGAACAACTCAACTGATATTAAATCCAGTTTGACATGAAATGTAAGTTTACGTTAAAAATTTGGTCACCTCCAATTAGGGATTCAGGATTTCCCAAGTATTCAGAAATAGCATGAAAATCGTTCCACGGTAACAAATGTCAATTATTATTATCTATCAAATTTAAATTAAAAATGTAAGAAACAGTTCAATGAATACACTAATTTATTTCTCTAAGTTATGTTTACAACGACTGATAAAATTTCATAATCTATTTAGATGATTTTGTCAAGAATCATTTAGTTAAAGAATCCTTCCATTAACTTGTGGTATTAGTTTTTAAAAGTTTTAAAACTAGTGGAGGCAATTTTAGCCGAAAATGTTCACATTTAAACCAGGTAAAAAGGATATGCCTGTTACATAGAATTAGAGAATATCAAATAAGTGCTAAGTTAGCACCTTTTGGAATACTGTTCAACTTGTTATAGCTAAGTATCATTTAATGTACCATACCTACAAGGAATCATAAAATATTGACTCAGGGGCGATAAACTTTACACAGCAAGACATAGAAAAAATTACTCTTGAAGTGATCTCAAAAAAGGTAAGCAGCTTTGCGCAATTATTACTAATCTTGGAATGCACACACACACGAATCATGTCTAAGGTGATCCTATTGGCAATAGTTAGACATTATTAAAACTAGACGTTGCATTTTATAATTATAACACTGTAAAACTGATATAAATCTACATCCAAAGTCTAAAAAATACAAAATTCATTTCAAAAGTAATAAATTAATATTGAAAATCATATTTAAACGTTATTAAGTAGAAAGATGTAGTAACACATGGCTCACATAGATGAAAAATGGATTAAACTAAAATGTGACTTACTGTGAACAATTATATTTCGATGTACCATTCTGCTTGAAGATTTCGGCATTCGACTGAGACATGCTCTACCACCAAAAATCATACAACCCACTACTACTAAAGCTATGACCACTATAGCACAAATAGTGTCATCCATCATTTTAGGAAGAAATTTCTAAACTAAATTTAATCTGGAAACTCGGAAATACATGGTTACTCTTATCTAATAATTCTAAAAATATCTTATCGGCCATGATGCTTCATGCTGCCTTACTATGTATGCAATAAGGCGAGATTATTGCACTAACTAAAGGTCTACCAACTTTAAATGATTGCAACATTAACATATTTTAATCGCTTTAACCGTGATTATCGTTTACATACTAAACTATACATTGTTAGATGAAAAAAAGTAGATCAATTAAATTCGACTACGGTTTCTCAACAATCGCTGAAGCAGCTGTAGGTACATAGAAATTTATTGAAAAAAAAAAAAGTGTGAATAGGTTGTCAATTTCTAAACTGAAAACTGTTTTACACGAAATTAAATTAAATAATTTGGAGTATTTAAAAAATGCAGTATTGCTTCTGGCACTATAATTAATTAAAATTGTGGTTTAAAACTTTTCTTCTAAAATTTTCCAAAATTTTTCTAGATTTTATAAAGTTATACCACTTTTGCCGAGGGAATTTCCTGAAAACGGAGTGGAGATATTAAAATTATCTAAACTCCTCTACCTTCAACTTGAAGGTCCTTGAACCCTACTTTAATATACAGTTCTCACGCTAAATGTATGACAGATTGCAATTTAATTTGTGTTGATAAGAAATGACCTTGTACATTTAATTCTATAGCAGTCTACATCCACTAGATAAGTTTTTTGAGCCGACGTATTATTCTCCTTTTTAATCTTGCACGTATTATCGTATACAAAATGTAGTCAGTTTTCCAAAAACATGCCTTGGTTTTGACATTAAGAAAATGTTTCTTCGTACCCTACAGAGAGGACACAAAATCCCACACTTGAACTTTTTCGTAGTTTAAAGTTCTTTTTCACACTAAGTACGACCATTTTGAAAAAAAACATAAGAATTAACAAATTTTATACCTAGGATAAACCTTGGAAAGGCAATTTATCTACGATAAAGTGATTAAGGACTAAAATAAATCAATTAAGAAAAGCATGATCTAGCATTAAAAAATTGATTAAAATGTCCATAACGAAGGAAAACGAATAACTTGACTCAATTTCAGCTCAAATGAGACGCACTTTTACGAATCGTTGACACTATGACTAACATCGTCGACAGAATGAATAGCCATATTATCGTCAAGGAAATAAGATTATTACGAAATTTAGTTATCATTGTACAATGATCTTCCTCCCTTATTTTTATACCAACAATTTAACAAACACGTGAAACTAACATCTTTGTTTACAAATGTAACACTTACTTTGCATTCTAGTAGATGTTTCTGCACGCCTCGTTCTAGTTCTAGTATGTCCGATAGCTGCAGGACGAGATTCAGCATTTGCTTGAGTACGTGCTAAGGCTTTACAACAGAAAGCCACAAACGACAAACAAAATGCAGATACTAATATAATAACAATCGCAGTTTCATCCATTATTTATAAGATTAAACGTTAAACTGAAATTATATAGGTATCTATAAGTTAGAAAACAGCGATCAGTCTTATCTATTGAGCTAATATCATCTTATCAATTTCTGAATTATTGGAAGTTGGTTTATACTTTTATAATATGTAACTTAAAATGCATTTTCAGAGGAAATAGTATACGATTAAAAGCCACTTTGAAATTTTTTTAACCCAGACAATTCTTATTTTAAGTATTAATGTTTTGCCGTAATCTAAATCATGTCATTTATTTAATTCAAAAACTAATTATTCACTATTTGCGTCAACAAATACACAGAAATTACAATAGGGGAGTTGATATTGACAATCTATTGACGCACATGCCGATACTAATACCTGAATAAGATCAACTGACGTATCTTTTCGTTAGTACTAATGGCGACTTATCGCGAAATGATAAGTAGCAGATGTAACAGTCAGCAGTGTAAGTGTAAACATTTAGTGTCAAATTTAAGCAATAATACCTTTTCTGTTCTTAAATACAAAGCTCAATAGCGTAAAATTGAACAGTGTTTAATTTATCAAATTTACATATATTTCACTACAAACACCGTCTGTGACAAACGTTCTTATCAAACTGATGGTTAATCTAATACGGATTTAGATATATATGCGTATCATATTCGAAGTAGTGAATCTACCAATGAGCTCTAGGAATAAAAAAACGGAAAAGATAAAAATTGGAACTAAATTTTGGGTACCGCCATTTTTGGAGCAGTTGAATAGTTAGAAAGTTAGAATGTATCAAAAATGGAAAGTAGTGCCAGATTTTCGAAAAAAAAAGAGTAAAAAGTTATATTTAAAAGATGAAGTTTAATGATGTGATTATTGTCAAGATTTTAACATGTTATCTATAAACTGGCGCAGATAACTGCCACTTAAAAATGACTTACTTACAGGAAGGTACTCGAACCAGGAAATTTGTTTTAAAAGATTATTATCATGAGATGATAGAGGTAGATAATGTTTCAATTTTAATTAAATAGTGGTATAAATTTTCTCCCTCTATATAAACCCCGTATTAAAAAAAGAATACTCTAGAGTGAACTGACACACCAAATATCTGAAAAGTTCTGTAATTCATAAATTATTGTGAATATTTTAGCAACTTGAAGAAGTTGATTATATAATTTCTAATAAGACAAACTAGTGAAAGTATAGGAATTTTGTCAGCACAAATGCAGCCAAAAATCAGTCTGATGGGTTTAATAGCACTTGTTGAAAATAATTAAAAAGGTAATTAACAGTCTGTTAATAAAAATTGTTATAATATAAAAATATATAACTACCTTATCTAGCGGTTGATGATTGTTGAATTAAGTCGATTATCTTCAAGCTATTTTATTAAGTCTGTTGCACAAATACTTAAACCATGAATGATCACGAAAGTTTCCATTCTTACCTTATACAGGAGCCAAAGTTCATAAGTGCAACTCTTTTGAAATTTAGCGTAATTTTGGACAATGATAGTAAAACTTTTTTTAATACTCTTGACGATACAGATAATATGCAAAGCGAATTTATAATAGTGATCTGTTGCAGGAGACGCAGAGTACATTCATACATGTTTTTACATTCATTTTTATTTGAACTGAGAAATTTTTGACATCAAATTATATCACTAGAATCGTCAAGAAGTCAGATTTGTTTCTTACGTATAAAAACGAGTAAACTATCTGGAATAAATAACAAATACCTGTTATAATTATTATTAGAACCCTTACTTTGTACTCTGCTACGTACTCTTGCTCTTTGCATTCTATTAGCACTAGTACTATCAATGCTTACAGAACGGGAATCAGCAGTGTCTTCACATTCACTTTCTTTTGACTGATTAAAACACACAATCAGAAACGTCAAACTGATCAAAATAAACAGCAATACACCAAAGATTACAACAAACACCTCCATTATTTTTAAAATTAAATGTCAAACTGAAACCTCCATAATACCCATAAATTAGAAAAGCGACCAATCTTATCTGTTAATACCAGGTTATCAATTTGACGACCATAATTTACTTGTATTGTTGAATTAATTATGAAAAATGTATGTATAAATTCTATGGGTATATTTACATTTTCAAGCATTAGTATTCAATAAGTAAGTGTCAAACATATTGTCAAGAGATTTATCAAGTAGTTTAGTGGAAAAACAAGGTAATCCTTGTTACTATTAAAAAATATGACGCAAAGACGAACAAAGCAGCAAGTAGGATTAAAAAACCCAGTATATTATTTTTCAAAATGGGCGCGAAGGTCAAGGACACGCAAAACCCAAAAATTTACTCTTAACTGTGTAGTTTTAGTAGATTGTTTTATTAGGATTAAAAGTGCCATTTTTTGCGACGAGCAAATTTTGCATTTGCGAGGCGGAGCGAAGCGAAGCCGAGCGGATGCAAAATTGCGAGTCAAAAACTGACTTTTAATCCGAATGAAACATACTACTTTTTCGCCAGCCAAAAAGTAAATCTCAAAAATACAAAATATTGATAACAATAATATCGAGCAGAAATGAATCAATCTGCAAAGTAGTCTGGTATCCACGTCGTCAAGGCTTTTTTTGTTTGCTTACATACCATTGTTTTGTGAAAACGTTTGCAGTGTTAATAATGAATCCTGAAGAAGAGTTACCTCCCGATGTGCTAGAAGAAGCACAAAACGTGGTACTGAACTTGTTACCAACAAAATCGCGCGAAGTGTATGAGTGCGCGTATACCCGCTTCATCAAATGGTGCGAAGGGAAAAAGATTCAAACTTATTCTGAGAACGTCCTATTGGTATATTTTTCCGAATTGGCTACAAAAATGAAGTCATCCACACTGTGGTCGCAGTATTCCATGGTGAAAGCAACTTTAAATATAAAAAATGGCATAGAAATCGGAAAGTATTCAAAATTAAAAGCGTTTATAAAGAAACAAGGAGAAGGATACGTTCCAAAGAAATCAAGGGTTTTAACTAATGAACAAATAGAAGTTTTCTTAGACACGGCTCCGGATTTCAAATTCCTGATGATGAAAGTATGTTTATAACCTAATGAAGAGCTTATATTTATTTTACGAATTTTTTTCAGATTGTTGTAATCTTTGGCGTTAGCGGAGCTTGTCGGTGTCACGAACTATTACAAATAAAAACTGAAGATATTGAAAATATTAAAGCAGGTTTATTGGTAAAAATTCCTGATACCAAAACGAAAAAACCCAAATCATTTACGGTTATGGGGGAAAAGTATTTGAAATTTTACGAAAAGTATGTTGCGCTTCGTCCAAAAATGTTTAATGAAGGTCGGTTTTTTATTAAATATGTCGACGGAATGTGCCATCGACAAGTAGTTGGCATTCATAAAATTAGTGGTGTACCCCAAGAAGTAGCCAAATATTTAAAGCTAGAAAACTTTAAAGAATACAGCGGACATTGCCTACGTCGGACTTCTGCCACGCTTTTTGTGGATTCTGGCGGTGATATTACGTCCCTCAAGAGGCACGGTGGGTGGAAATCTGACAGTGTAGCCGAAGGTTACATAGAAGAGTCTCTTAAACACAAAAAAGATGTAGCAAAAAAAATTTTTCGTTTGGAAGAACCAGGTACAAGTAGTGAAACCACAAGTAAAATACATGAAGACGCAACGAATAGGAATGTGAGCGAAGTAAACCTAGAAGAATCAGGTACAAGTAGTGGAACTACGAATAGAATGATCACACGTGAAGACGGAATAAGTACGAATGTGGGAGCAGTAAACCTGAATTTTGACACTGTGACCAACCAGACAGCAGGAGCGGTAGAAGTGTTAGCGCAAAATATTATTACTGACCGCATGAAAAATGATAATAGTGACGGAAAATCTTTAATCCAAATCAATCGCAGTTGTTCTTATTGTACATTCAATATTAATTTTAAAATTTAAATAATTAATAACAATGTAAGTTAATAATAAAATTGGAAAATATTAATAGCATTTCATTCTCAAAATAAAACAATTGAAAACTTTTTAAGGCTAGGATTAAAAAAAAAAATTAATGCTAGGATTAAAAAGGCAAAAATGACGTTGTTACTTTAGTAACGCAACTTTTTTTTACTCTCACAAAAACGTCAAGTTTTCCGTCCAAAATTGACGTTAAAAGTGACATCTTTTAAGACGGCTGGCGAAAAAGTATATTTTTACACCTCCTTATTTTACTTTATCGACAATGCTAGTGACTGATCTGTCAGTTGAGACGTCAAGAACCGCATTAAATTTGAATCGTTTCTATGAGCGCGTTTTATCGCAATATTTATGATATATTATGTTCTTACGGAGTGGAGAAGTTAGAAGAACAACTTAAAAGCACCCAGCAGAGATCCTAAAAGAACAGATTTATAAATATTACGTCTAGGGTAAATGCTATGGCAGTGACGAGAGCAAGAGGAATTATCCACCTATTTTTCAATACTCCTACCACTGTCAGTATAATCCAGTTGAACTGGCGTAGGGAGAGTGTAAACTATATTACAATAAACATATTCGGGAACGCGGTGGTCCTATTGGTGTTGTACAGTCCTTATGGCGGGAGGCTCTTTCTACAGTAGGTGCAGGAAATGGCAAAATTTTATTAGACATTGTGAACGGCTGATCAGGGATGATTGGAAGCGTTTAATGGGTAATGCACCATATGAAGACATACCCCCCAATCAAATTTCTCTCGATTCTGATTCTGAATCGGAATGTTTTTCTAATAACTTGTCAGCTTGTCACTTTTTCATTTGGCATTTAATGTCAACAATAATCAGCATTAAGTCCTCAACGCAAACGGCTCTAAAGTCCTTGTTATGTACAGTAGCAGTGTTGAAACATGAGAGTGAAAGCAATATAAATTCTGTGTTTTTTGTTATATAACATACTATTTAGTTACATTTTCTTTTGTTTACAATATTATAGACGTTTACAACAAAACGTGTTGTTTAGTGTAACGTCCGCGACCCTACAGTTTTGCGAGGGTTGTGATCTTCGCTAACTACACTGGTAAGTTGTCGACCTTGAAATTTGCTTAAATTTTGAAAAGACATATAGACGAGTACAACACAGATGTACAACAAAACGTGTTGTTTACTGTAACGTCCGCGACCCTACAGTTTTGCGAGGGTTGTGATCTCCGCTAACTACACTGGTAAGTTGTCGACCTTGAAATTTGCTTAAATTTTGAAAAATAATATAGTATAAATTTTTACTATATTTCAGTTATCAATAGTATAATGTGGTAGGCTACTCTCTCAACTATATTTTATACGGAACACATTTTATCTAGACAACCAATTAACTATATCATCGTTACAGTAAAATTACTGCTAAACTACTTTCAGTGAGGAAGCACATGTGTTTCTTTTTTATCAAAACATGTTTTTAACTACCTAAATTACTAATACCTGTTCCTTCTGTTCTATTAGCACTAGTACTATCAATCCTCACAGAACTAGAATCGTCAGTGTCTTCACATCCCCACCTCGTTATGCGATAATAACATAAAGCCACAAACATCAAACCGACAACAACAGACATCGATGTAGCAATATAGATTTCAAACAGTTCCATTATTTTAGAATTAAATGTTGAACTGAAACTTATATGTACCTACAAATAAGAAAGTACCGATCAATCTTATCTGTTAAGCTAATACCACGTTATCAATTTAACGACCATGCTTTACTTATATTTTTGGATTAATCATTTTTCGGGTTTTATATGTAAAAACAAAAATTTGAAACTATTTACCCCTTAATTATTTTACAGCAACACGTATATACCCCAGTGGTATGAGGCCCAATATTTCCGTTCATACATTTACACTACCATGATATTTCATTTATCGTGTAGTAAGCTACTTTATTAAAGAACATTTCTCAACTACATTTCATATATAATGCTTTGTTATTTGAACTCAGACATTTTTGACACTAAATCAATGTAACACTAGCATTCTCAAGGCGATCGATTAACAATATCAGTATTAGAGCAATTATTACGAAACTATTTTCATTGAGTAAGCATATTTGTTTTTTTTTACTAAAACGTGTTTTAAATTACCTTAAATAAGAGATAAATAACTAACAGCTATTGTTATAACTACAACACTTACTTTGTACACTACTGCGTATTTCTGGTATTTCCGTTCTATTAGTACTAGTACTATCAATCCTCACAGAACCAGAATCATCAGTGTGTTCACATCCCCACATCGCTACGCGATAACAACATAAAAACACAAACGTCAAACCGAGGGCAGCAAACAGCAATATAGCAAAGATTTCATACACTTCCATTATTTTAAAATTAAATGTTAAACTGCAACTTATATATACCTACAAATAAGAAAATACCGATCAATCTTATCTGTTAAGCTAATACCACGTTATCAATTTAACGACTATACTTTGCTTATATTTTTGGATGAATCATTTTTTTAACATACGGGTTTTATATGTAAAAACAAAAATTTTAAATTCCCTAATTAAGTAACATGTTAAATAATGGTATAACGTAATAAAAAGAAAAAAATCACGATTAGCCATGAGACGTGTCAGTCAAATAAAATTCACTACTTTGACATTCTGGCCATTCTGGCTACAAAAATAATTCCACTTAGATTAAATGTTCAAATACATCACCATTAGCAGCTAAACAAAGTCCTAATCCCAAGGTACCTAATCTAGCATAAAAGTTTTTCGCGCCGCCGCTAATTGATAACAACTGATTTGAGCACTGTATGCATTTATTGCTGCTTTTAAATCTTCGACTTTGTTGTAAGTGTCCCCACAAAAAATCATTTGGCACCAAATCGGAGAATCTCGCCGGCCAAAGAATTTCACCCGGACATCTTGTTAAAACCAAATCATATCAATCATTAATAGCTGATACTACACTTTGTTGGAGCAGATTTAAATAATAATTGCCATTTAATCGGTTCGGAATAAAAAATGGCCCAGTGATATGAGGCCAAATATTACAATTCATACATTTACACTACCACGATTTTAGAAAAACACATAGTATAAATTTTAACAATGTATCATTTATCAAAGTTACTTAATTAAAGAACATTCCTCAACTACATTTCACATAGAATGCTTTATTATTTGTCCTGAGACATTTTTGACACCAAATGAATGTAACACTAGCAATTTCAAGGCGACCGATTAACTATATCATCACTACAGTCCAATTAAAAAACATTCCTCAACTTCATTTCGTATAGAATGCTTTGTTATTTGAACTGAGACATTTCTGACACTAAAAATCAATTAAACACCAGGATTCTCAAGGCCACCGATTAACTATATCATCGTTACAGTAAAATTCCTGCGAAAATATTTTCTCTTGGAAAGGATATTTATTTCTCTCTTATAAAAACGAGTTTTAAACTACGTGAAATGCTGATTAACTAACTACTCGTACTTGTTATAATTAACACACTTACTTTGTACACTACTACGTACTTCTACTCTTTCCGTTCTATCAGCATTACTACGTACTTCTGGTCTTTCCGTTCTATTAGCACTAATAGCATCAATGCTCACAGAATCAGAATCAACACTGCCTTCACATTCCAACCCCGTCATGACCTGACAACACTTAAATATCAACAAAAAACCGACACAAACAAATATCGGTGCACAAATCAATAAAACACTAGTGTCAGGCACATCCATTATTTTTAAAATTAAATCTTAAACTGACATTTATATATACAATATACATATATATGTATCTACAAATAAGAATACATCGATCAATCTTATCTGTTAAGCTAATACCAGGTTATCAATTTAAAGACTATACTTTACTTATATTTTTGGATTAATTATTTTTTTACTTAGAGATATACCAAATGTAGTCATTTTTTGAACATACGGGTTTTATATGTATTGTCAGAACAAAAATTTGCAACTATTGACTCCCTAATTAAGTAACACGTTAAATAATGGTAACGCAATAAAAAGAAAAAATCACGATTTATGATAAAATACTAGATACTAGCCATGAGACGTGTTAGTCAAATAAAATTCACTTCTTTGACATTCTGGCCATTCTGGCTACAATAATAATTGCACTTAGATTAAATGTTCAAACGCATCACTATTAGCAGAGCTAAACAAAATCCTAATCCCATGGTACCTAATCTATCATAAAAGTTTTTCGCGCTGCCACTAATTGGTAGCAACTGATTTGAGCACTTTCTAGATTTATTGCTATCTTTTAAATCTTTCACTTTGCTGTAAGTCACGTCAATGATGTGAAAACGGTTTTGCAAATGCCCCCACAAAAAAAATCATTTGGCGCCAAATCGGGAAATCTTGCCGGCCAAGGAATTTCACCCGGACATTTTGTTAAAACCAAATCACATCAATCATTAATAGCTGATACAACACTTTGTTGCAGTAGATTTGAATAATAATTGCCATTTAATCGGTTCGGAATAAAATATAGCCCAGTGATATGAGGCCCAATATTCCGGTTCATACATTTACACTACCACGATTTTAGAAAAACAGATAGTATAAATTTTAACAATATATCAATTATCAATGTAGTAAGCTACTTAATTAAAGAACATTCCTCCACTACATTTCACATAGAATGCTTTGTTATTTGAACTGAGTCATTTTTGACACCAAATCAATGTAACACTAGCATTCTCAAGGCGACCGATTAACTATATCATCACTACAGTCAAATTACTGTGAAACTATTTCCTCTTAGAAAGCATATTTATTTCTTTCTTATAAAAACGAGTTTTAAAATACTTAAATAATAAACTAAACTATATCTGTTATAATTAGCACACTTACTTTGTACACTACTACCAGTGCTACTACGTACTTCTGCTCTTTCCGTTCTATTAGCACTAATAGCATCAATGCTCACAGAATCAAAATCATCATTGCCTTCACATTCCAATCCCGTTATGAAGTGACAAAACTTAAACACAAACAGCGAACCGACAAAAATAAATATCGATGATTATACTAATGATTCCAAGCACTTCCATTATTTTTAAAATTAAATTTTAAACTAAAATTTATATATATGTACCTACAAATAAGAATACATCGATCAATCTTATCTGTTAGGCTAATACCAGGTTATCAATTTAGCGACTATACTTTACTTATATTTTTGGATTAATTATTTTTTTACTTAGAAATATACCGAATGTAGTCATTTTTTGAACATACGGGTTTTATATGTAAAAACAAAAATTTTGAAACTATTGACTCCCTAATTATATTTTACAGCAACACCTTAAATAATGGTAATGAATTAAAAAGAAAAAAAAAACAAATCTCATCAATCATTAAAAGCTGATACTACACTTTCCTGCAGCAGATTTAAATAATAATTTCCATTTAATTGGTTGGGAATAAAATGTGGCCCAGTGATATTCTGGTTCATATATTTACACTACCACGATATTATAAAAACAGATAAAATTTTAACAATGTTTCATTTATCAATGTAGTAAGCTACTTAAAAAATAATTCCTCAACTACATTTCGTATAGAATGCTTTGTTATTTGAACTCAGACATTTCTGACACTAAATCAATATAACACCAGGATTCTTAAGACAACCGATTAACTATATCATCGTTACAGTAAAATTACTGAAAAAATATTTTCTCTTGCAAAGGATATTTATTTTTCTCTTATAAAAACGAGTTTTAAACTACGTGAAATGATAATTAACTAACTAACTAATATACCTGTCATAATTAGCACACTTACTTTGTACACTACTACGTACTTCTACTCTTTCCGTTCTATCAGCATTATTACGTACTTCTGGTCTTTCCGTTCTATCAGCATTATTACGTACTTCTGGTCTTTCCGTTCTATTAGCACTAATCGCATCAAT